AATGTTATATTAGTTGTTAGTGTAAGTAGTACTAGTAGTGTTTCTCATTATTTATTTTATATGCATATAGTAACAATGAAGGACAGTTAAGTTGTCCTATAGGATGTTGAGAACCACAGTATGGCATCTTCATCATTGGATATCTCAACCAGTGTGGCACAAGCTACGAATATTTCATTCAGTAGAATTACTGTTAAAGTATACTATCAAGTATATATTAATTTTAACAAAAAGGTGTTTTCAGTTATAGTTATAGTTATAGGACAAATAGTAGGCCTACACAATAGGCTAGTAGTAAATTTAATTATATTTTATTAATCACTAAATCAATTATTTATTCCATAGCTGGAGACATTTATGATGGCTTATCCAGATCTTTCCTTATAAGGGAAGGGAAGATGGCCACCCCCCCCCCCCCCTACAGTTCCCAAAACATCGCTTACTCTTGATGCTCCACAAGATCAAGGTTGAGGGAAACAAGACATACAAAAATGTGGAGTTGTCGTATTAAAAACTGTTCCCCCAAAGTTATTAACCCGATAGGTTTGAATGTAGCATCAACTGCTGCATCACTTGTAGGCATCACGTCTTTATTAGACTACATTACATTACGTTACTCCACTCAATTTTGATTCTGTTTCTCCTGCACTAGAACTGTGGCATTTTTAAAAATAATATTTTAACTCATGTGATTTTTGAAAATAATGAACACATTCTTCCTGTTAATGTTACCAACACAATAGTTTTAGAGTTATTCTATGTCCAAAGCAAAAGAAAAATTATTTTTTTTTAAATTTATTTTTTTTGTATGAAAATAAAAATGACAAAAAACGCATTATTGTAATTTTCAATTATTTTTTTAACTTAGAAAGACTCATGATGATGATGCCTCAGATGACTGAAAAAAGTGGGCATATAAATTACAAACTTTGCAGCAACTATACCAATTTCTACACTTCTATGTTATTTAGTTTAGAAAATATGGGTTCTCAAAAAATGGCACTTTTTGAAAATCATTTTTTAACCAAATTTTGCTTTTTTATAAATCACATGACTTTTTTATTTATTGAGATTTTTTTTATAAAATTTGTGGCATAGAGCTTACAATTAAAAGTTTTTTCAGGACATACTCATTACAGAAGTCTGCAATCAATAGTTAATTTCAGTATGGACTACCTAATATAACTCAAACAACTCAAAAAAACCAAAGCAACCAAATTAACCATGTCAACAAAAATAAAGGGAGAGTGATCTCCCCTAAACCTTCTCAAATATTTTTGTATAACACTATGGGGGGTTGTAACTCGGGATATAGACATGATTTTTAATTACTTAAAACTTTTTAAAATAGAATAGAATCTCGTAGAAAAAAGAATTGTGCAATAAGTGAACAGAATGTAATGTGTGTATAAATATAATTGTGCGGAATATTAGTACTTTTAAAATTCATATGCATTTTTTTTTGAGAAAACAGAAATAGCGTAAAGTACTTCGTCAGGTCAATGTAAATTACTCAAAATTCAACAGAAGGCAGAAGATCTAATATTTCAATGTGAAATTTCACCTATCTATCTAAAAGAGTACTCAAGCTATAGGCTTTAAAAAACCAAAAGTAGAATAAGTTTCACTTCAGGTTACCGGAAATTGCTGAAAAGTTGACACAGAACTACAAATTTGATATAATATTTATAAATGAAATTTCAATAACCTAGCTGTAGCGGTACTCAAGTTATCGAGTTCACAGACAGACATACATAAATACACACACACATACGGACAAAATTGCAAACTATGTTTTTCTGACTAAGGGAGGTTAAAACGTACGATTTATAAAAATCTCGATTTCATTTTTTTGTGCGATTACAATTCTTACCCCATACTTTGTATATGAGAAAGTAATGACCAAAACTATTAAATCAACCAAAATGAGCAAATGAACTGACCATCATCTCTCTTTCTTCCCTCATGAAGCACCAGACCAAAGGCGGAAGAAAATTCTTTTTTCCTCTTCATATTATCAATAGCATCTCTACCTTTCTAAAGACAAGAAAAGAAATTTTTTTACTTCACATAGTCGTGTATGGTTATTTTCAACAGACCTACACGTCTTCATTTTTGACTGACCTTCATGTGTGGTCATTTTCATTTTTTAACAACCTACACATGAAGTCTGGTTATATCAACTGACCTGCATCTTTGTATTGATGACAACAAGCTTTGACTCGTGATTGACAGCGTGAGTCTGCAGATTGCAAGGTACACACACATACACAGTCCACCTGCCATCCTTGACTCGCTGAACCAGACTTTTATGACTCTGTCAGAGAATTTTCTTTTAAATCTTTGTTGCAGTTATCTCTTAGCCCTTAAAATTCATATCTTAGTTTCAATTATTTCTTAGTCCAATGATTCAAATTTTAAAAATATTTCCTGATGGTTTTTTCATTAAAAACTTACAAATTGAAATCCTTGGTCAACTAACTCAACAAATTCATAGTCCTGCCTTAGTGGACATTCTGAAAATAAACAAGACAAGAAAAAAGGAATGATTAATGCACTATTTAGCACTGTCCTGTCTAGTAACAAGACAAGAAAAAAGGAATGATTAATGCACTATTTAGCACTGTCCTATCTATTAACAAGACAAGAAAAAAGGAATGATTAATGCACTATTTAGCACTGTCCTATCTAGTAACAAGACAAGAAAAAAGGAATGATTAATGCACTATTTAGCACTGTCCTATCCAGTAACAAGACAAGAAAAAAGGAATGATTAATGCACTATTTAGCACTGTCCTACCTAGTAAATAGGTCAAGAAAAAAAACATTAATAAATAAACCGGGATTGATCTCCCCTAAACTTTCTCAAATATTCTAATATAAAATTATGAGGAATGGCAACTCAGGACATAGACAATATTTGTTATCCATTTTTAATTACTTAAACTTTTTATAATAGAATAGAATCTCGTAAAAAAAAGAATTGCACACCAAGTGAAAAGTTTCCCTTTCAAACCTGAAGGTCTATGGGGCAAGTGAAGTAGAGTTCACTTGTTTCTGTGACCTCGGCATATGAAGAGATAGTGTGGTCAGCACTATGCCCAGCCACCTTTACTTTCCCTAACAGGAGTTAGGTACCCATCAGAGTTGGGTGGACGGTCTACTGACTTGAACTCGGATTCGAACTCGAGACTAACGGATTAGCAGTCTAGCTCTTTTCTGCTAGACCACTCCGTCCCACACCAAGTGAACGCCTAATAAAATGTGTATAAAAGTGCGGGATATTATAAGTACTTTATAAATTTACATGCGTTTTTTGAGAAATCGGAAATAGCGTAAATTAGTACTTCCGGTCAACGGAAATTACTCAAAATTTGACAGAAGGTAGAGAATTAGATCTTTTACTTACATATGACATTTCATGCATCTATCTAAAATAGTATGCAACTTATAGGCTTTTAAAAAATTCAAAGTAGAAAAAGTACCACTTCCGGTTATCGGAAATCGCTCAAAAGTTGATCAGGATCTACGATTTTGATAAAATACTTATATATGAAATTTCATCAACCTAGCTGTAACGGTACTCAAGTTATCGTGTTTACACACAGACAGACACACAGACATACGGACAGGATTGCAAAGTCCAGTTTTTACGACTCGATAACGCATAAAACGCCAAAACGTTGATATATTTGTATTTATAATTTTTGCCTGATTAAAATAAGTCCTCTATACTCCGGATGTAATGAAGGACTGAGGAGTAAAACGGTGAAAACTGTCAAAATTTCATGTTATTTTTGTGCATGATTACAATACTTTCTCTATACTTCGTATATACGAGAAAGTAAAAAATGTAATAACAAGCTTTTATATAATGATTATGCACTAAAAAATATAGAAAATTCTTTAAATACAGAGATGCCTACCCCTGGTAACCAAAAGTAGGAACAGTTATACCTAAAAAGAGGAATTTGAGGCAAAAAAGAGCAACATACACCAGGATGCTACTTAATTAAGTCAAAATCACATTTTATTATACCCAGTAGCATACATACAAGCATAGATATAGTGTTCAGTAGGCCTCTAGCTATATATAACTAGTCTCTAGGCCATGGGTTCCCAAACTGTGGGTCGCGACCCCCGAAGGACTTTCTGGGGGGGGGGGGGGGGGGGGTTGCCAACTGGTAGACTAAACCCTAGCAATGAAAAAAAAACATAAATGTATAGAAGAATATCTGAAATTCGGCTTTACTAACATCAATGGAACATGAAGCTAGTTGCAAACGTCAGAGACTTAATAGATCAGGAAGTTTTTACCATTAGAGCAAGCATCATATGAAGTCTTACAACGGAGAAACATCAATTGAAAAGATGGGCTGAATACTTCGAAGAGGCCCTAAACAGACCAGACCCTGAAGAAACTGCTGACTTCACTGACATGAACATACATTTTGAAATGTATAGAGGACCCATCCTAGAACAAGAAATAATAGAAGCTATCCAAAAAACAAAAAGCAATAAGGCTCCAGGAGAGGACAGAATCACTGCGGAGATGCTAAAGGCAGACCCAAAAATAGGTGCAGAAACTCTATCAGGGATCTTCAATAAAGTATGGAATGAAGAAAAAGTCCCAGATTCTTGGAAACGGGGAATCATTATCAAATTACCCAAAAAGGGCGACCTTAATGTTTGTGAGAACTGGAGAGGCATTAATCTTCTGTCAGTACCAGGAAAAGTCTTCTGCAGAGTCCTATTACAAAGAATGAGGAAAGGAATTGATGGGATCCTTCGTGAAGAACAAGCTGGCTTCAGGGCCAACAGGTCATGTAACGACCAAATATTTGTCTTGCGCACTATAGTGGAACAGTCCCTTGAGTGGAATTTGTCTCTCTACATCAACTACATAGATTTCGAGAAAGCATTTGATAGCATCCACCATCCATCATTATGGAAGATACTAGAGCTATATGGCTTTCCAGGAAAAGTCATAAACATACTTAAGGACATGTAGTATGATAACCAATGCTGTGTGCGACACGAAAATCAGCAAAGTGAATGGTTCAAGGTAAAAACAGGAGTCAGGCAGGGCTGTGTCATCTCACCTGTCATCTTTTTGGAGGTAATAGACTGGATTATGAGAAGAGCCACTGAGGATAAGCCAAGAGGAATTGTTTGGGAACTTACCAACCACCTAGAGGACTGTGACTTTGCTGATGACTTGGCTTTACTTTCACATGCCCAAAAAGACATCCAAGCAAAAACCACAAGAATAGAGCAAATTGCCAAAAGCGTTGGGCTAAAGATAAACTCCGGAAAAACCAAGCTAATGAAAATAAAAACCGAAAGTGCTCTCAAGACCTTTGCGAATGGAGCAGAGCTAGAAGAGGTCGAAGACTTTAAGTACCTCGGCAGCTATATATCAGCAAATGGCAGCATGGAGAAAGAAATTGCCACCAGAATAGCAATGGCAGCACAAGCTTTCAACAGACTCGCTAAGATCTGGAAATCATCCTCACTGCAGCAGAGAACTAAAATAAGGATCTATAAGTCAAATGTACGTTCTGTACTCCTCTATGCTGCAGAGTCATGGAAACTAAACAAGAAAGGAGAGAGCCGACTCAGAGGCTTTGAAAGTAGATCCCTCCAACGCATCCTCAGGATAAAGTGGGACGACAAAGTCCCGAACAAGGAAATATGGCGAAGGACAGGATTAAACGACATTGTCTCAGAAGTTCGAACGAGGAGATGGAGATGGCTGGGCCATGTCCTACGCATGAGCAAAAAAAGACTCCCCAACATGGCGCTGAAGTGGAACCCACCCGGAAAGAGAAATAGAGGAAGACCACTGGGAACATGGAGGAGGGAGATGGAAGAAGAAGTACAGGCTATTGGCAAAACCTGGCATGAACTAAAGTGGCTCGCCCAGGACAGGGTGGAATGGCGGAGATTTGTTGCTGCCCTATACTCCACAGGGAGTGATGAGGACTAAGTAAGTAAGTCATATGAAGTCACATTTTCTGCTTCCCCTGATGTTGCCAGTATCCCTGATGAATTACAAGATGAATTCTTAAATTTTACGGAATGATTCCGCGTCACATACCGTGTTAAATAAAAACCTGCTCACACAATTTTGGTGCAGTATGCACCATTCATACCCAAACGTGAGATTGGTTGCCTTTCAAGTTTTAGTTCATTTTGTCAACACTTCTCCAATTAAAAATAAAACAAAGAAAAAAAGTAAATGTTGAGCAATACATGAGGTTGGGGTTTGAAAAAATTACACCACCAATTTTGAGGCTAGTTAATAGCATGTAATTTTACTCATCATATTAAAACAGTTATAAAGAATAATTCATATTGAAAGTCTACTAGAAAATCTTATCTTAGTGCTTATTTATTTCCTTACTAATTTTGACTTTTTAATTCTAGGAGGGTTGCGGGTCACTTACTTTTTATAAAAGGGGGTCGCCACTTGAAAAAGTTTGGGAACCACTGCTCTAGGCTACATCTAAATACTGCTTAATGTCAGCTTACATTTTAAAAAAAAACAGTTAACCAGTGACTGTGAGTAACCTGATATAATTTAAATCTACAATTCAATTGCATATATCAAAAAGAACGTTCAGAAGCTTGCTTGGCCACATTATCTATTAGTAGATCTAGCTTTAGTATCAGATGATACTTGTAAATATTGTAAGTAAACTAGGAAATGGAAACGTGAGCCAAAGGGAGATAATTGCTTTACCCTGATCTTTTTTTTCAATTCCATTTATTACTTTTTTAATTTTTTCATTAATTGTTGAAAAAGTGGAACAAACTTCGACAAAAGCAGGATGGCAGAACAGGAAACGATTTTCTGTAAAAAAGTTGAACAATTCCGCTTCAAACAGGAAAGTAGGCATGTCTATGAATATATAATAATGCACAACTATTTACATAGCTATAAAGAAAAGCTTGGGTCGCTATATTACGAAATGAATACTTTCTCTTTAAAAAACTTTTATTTGAAGGGTAGAGCAGTATTATATATTGAAAGAATTTTTTTACTTTATAGTGCACTAACCCTAACATCTATATATGTAGTTCTCTACGTGGACACCACCACAACGCAAGCCGACCATCTAGCCCCCCTCCCTCACTCTCCAGGCATGCGCAACAGACCATATCGCTATGGCTGGTGAGCTGTGGTACACGCCAAATGTTTACAATCGTAAAGCTAGGTCAAGTTAGTGATGGCTATTAGGGGCAGATAATTTAATTTTTAAAATATTTGAAACTAAGGGGAGTTAATAATTTCTGCTTGATCTTTTCATTGTCATCTGTAAACTTTCGTTACAGCCTGCTGCTTTCACAGAGGTGAGGTATTGAGGATAAACGTCCTTCACGAGCGACTGATAGTGTTTTAAAGCAAAATATTTTCAGTCGCAGCATTGGTAGTGTCAAATTCACAAATTATGAATTACTATCCCTGCACTTTGCCATGGAGCTAGAAGAAAATAAGCGCCATAATGCTCGCAGGGAGCTCTTTGGGGTACAGTGCACCCGTTGCAGTTTTACCGCTGTATATGGTAGTTAGGTATGGTATACTTTTATATAGTTAGATAGGTATTGCTTACTTGCATACTTTGATTTTGACTACTATTGTTAAACTAGCATGATTATAGACTGTACAACTTCAATAGATGCATTGCATGTCTGTCTTGTTACAAACATCAAATTTTAGGCACATAGGATTTCAACAGTGACAAGTTTGTTAGATTATTTTGTCTTTTTTTTCTTTTAGTTCAGGGCTGAGACATGGTGATTTAGTTTCAATCGATTGATGTAGTCGAACGCTGGATTTGATGAGCCCTCAGGTTGAATGGTTAGAAAATGGATGCATGTTAAGGTAACCAAAGGAAGACATACCTGCTTTTGGTACCTCTTCAACTTTTTCAGCAAAAACTTGTACATTCAAGCACCAGCAAGAGTACACAACCATATCTTGTAAGTTACCTAGTAGATAAAAACAATGGTTACTACATGATCAAGGAACAAAACAAAGGAAAGCAGTTGCAACACCAAGCAAGGAACTAACTGGTAACAATTCATTTATTGTCTTGGTGTTAACAAAATGATACATAAAACAAGTAAAAACCTTAAAAATTTAAACTTTATATCCACTGATAATAGGAAAATAAACCTCATCTTGTTTTCTTTGGCTGTTAAAAAAAGGGCTTTGATGCTCACATGTTTTTTATAGATATTTTTAAAGCAACTAACATCTTCCCAAAGACTGACTTTTAGTCAGAAAGGACCAGTGGTCAGGTATTGATTCAGTGGTCATATATTGATTCAGTGGTCAGATATTGATTCAACTGTCAGATATTGATTCAACTGTCAGATATTGATTCAGTGGTCAGATATTGACTCAGTGGTAAGATACTGATTCAACTGTCAGATATTTATTCAACTGTCAGATATTGATTCAACTGTCAGATATTGATTCAGTGGTCAGATATTGATTCAACTGTCAGATATTGATTCAACTGTCAGATATTGATTCAGTGGCCAGATATTGATTCAGTGGTAAGATATTGATTCAGTGGTCAGATATTGATTCAGTGGTAAGATATTGATTCAGTGGTCAGATATTGATTCAACTGTCAGATATTGACTCAGTGGTCAGATATTGACTCAGTGGTCAGATATTGACTCAGTGGTCAGATATTGATTCAGTGGTCAGATATTGATTCAGTGGTCAGATATTGATTCAGTGGTCAGATATTGATTCAGTGGCCAGATATTGATTCAGTGGTCAGATATTGATTCAGTGGTCAGATATTGATTCAGTGGTCAGATATTGATTCAGTGGCCAGATATTGATTCAGTGGTCAAATATTGATTCAGTGGTCAGATATTGATTCAGTGGCCAGATATTGATTCAACTGTCAGATATTGATTCAGTGGTCAGATATTGATTCAGTGGTCAGATATTGATTCAGTGGTCAGATATTGATTCAGTGGTCAAATATTGATTCAGTGGTCAGATATTGATTCAGTGGTCAGATATTGATTCAACTGTCAGATATTGATTCAGTGGTCAGATATTGATTCAGTGGTCAGATATTGATTCAGTGGTCAGATATTGATTCAGTGGTCAGATATTGATTCAGTGGTCAGATATTGATTCAGTGGTCAGATATTGATTCAGTCGTCAAATATTGATTCAGTGGTCAGATATTGATTCAGTGGTCAGATATTGATTCAACTGTCAGATATTGATTCAGTGGTCAGATATTGATTCAACTGTCAGATATTGATTCAGTGGTCAGATATTGATTCCACACTGGTCCAAGTTATAAAAAGAATGTTGTAATTATTTAGGTGCAATGTGAGAGTTTTGATGACAGTTTTGACAGATATACTGAGATAAGATGTGCAGATAATGTGTGGTGCATTAAATGCAATAGGTCCCTTTGTGAGTCAACTGAGCTCAGTCAAAACAAGAATGGATGACAATAAGACTTGTATTTGCACTTTTTACTTAACCATATAGTTCTAGACTATTCTAACAGGACAACATGATAGTCCAGAGTGAACAATTACAGATGCAATTTAATAACTTCACACTTTTGTAGCTCATTTGAATTTCTCCTCCTCATTCTAACAAAAAGTCAGATGCTGAAAATAACACTCACAAAATATCATAGTAACATTCTGGACATACGTCTGTTGCAGTCACTATAATTACTATAAAAGGGTCTACACCCTTTCAGTCTGCATATTGACCTATATAGAACAGCACCTCTCACTTTAATTTGACTTGATTATTTCTAATTATCCTTCATCAAATTTTGATTTTACTTTCATATTTCTATTGCCCACACTCTCTAGCACTAATGTGCAGTTTTATAATTATATCTCAAATAGCAGCAGTGGTATGCAAGCCTAAAGCCAATCACACAATTAAATCCGACGTTACAGTGATATATAACAAGTTTAATACATAACTTTAAACTTTAAAAATTCATAGAAAAAAAACTATTAGGCCTATAACAGGGGTCGGCAACCTTTTGATACGCAAGAGCCAAAAGTTACAGTTTAAAAACTTTCCCAGTTTTTAAAGAGCCACAACATTTTTACTTTCTCGTATAAATGAAGTATAGAGAAAGTATTGTAATTATGCAGTCCCTGTAATCGTGTAATCCCTGAGTCAGAAAAACATAGTTTTTAATCTTGTCCGTGTGTGTGTGTGTATGTGGTGTGTGTAAACACGATAACTTGAGAACCGTTACAGCTAGGTTGATGAAATTTCATATATACAAGTATTATATCAAATCATAGATCCGTATCTTTTGAGCGATTTCCGATAACTGGAAGTGGAACTTTTTCTACTTTGAATTTGAGTACTATTTCAGATAGATAAATGAAATTTCACATGTAAGTAAAAGATCTAATTTTCTGCCTTCTGTCAAATTTTGAGTAATTTCCGCTGACCGGAAGTAGTTATTTTCACTCTTTCCGATTTCTCAAAAAACGCATGTGAATTTATAAAGTACTAATAATATTCCGCACTATTGTACACATCTTTATTTGGCATTCGCTTGGTGCGCAATTCTTTTTTCTATGAGATTCTATTTTAAAAAGTTTAAGTATTTAAAATGGATTAAAAATCATAACTATATCCCGAGTTCCCATCCCCTGTTGTTTTATATAAGAATATTTAAGAAAGTTTAGGGGAGATCACTCCCGGTTTATTAGTTCAATATTCGGTATTTGATTAGGATTAGGTAAAAAAAGTTGATGTGTTATTTAAAATAAATAGTTTTAAATATGAAATAATATTTATTCATATAAAAACATAGACATGTTTCGCCAGAATAGTAAAATTAGTAATCAAATAATAATATTATTCTAGGACTATCTTAATCCACTTTAGAAGCTGTTAATTTTTATTTTATTTTTTCTTTACGGATATCACCGGCTCAGGAGGTGTCTCCCATTAGCCAGTAAGGCCTCAACATGGCAAACGCCGACTAACTGGCTTGGATATCAGTTTGAATAACTTGCATCGTTCGCTTCTATCGTTTGGTTCTCACCAGGCTTATTTTCCATCCCACTGAACGCAGGGTAAAGTCGTACCCCACCGTCCAGTAAATATGAAATTATATAGGCCTAACTATTAATATTTGTGCAAGGAGCTGGAGAGCCGCATCTTGACGTCGCGAGCCGCAGGTTGCTGACCCCTGGCCTAGAATGATAAATTTGGTATTTCTATCAATGGGTTAAGGTCCATTTTATCATTCTATGATAATTAGGAAAAATATCCCAATATGCCTACATTTTATTTTTAGTAGGCCTATTGTTCAAAACATAAATCCTCCTCGAAATGTAAAATAATTAGGTACTAAAATTTAAGAAGTCACCTGTTTTTCACATAGGGCCTATTACTAGTCGCGGGCAATTTTACGTAGGCCTACCTAAAACGATAGATTATAAATTATCATCTAGATCTAGTGATAATGGCTGAACTACTAAATTATTAAAATTAAATAATCTAGGGCATTCTAGGGCTAGGGCCCTAATTAAGACAGTATTATATTAGTCTATACTACTAGTCTATCTATGGCTATTGCATTGCCTATTATAAATTACTATTGCTATTAATTAATAATTACTAGGCCTATATTTAACTAGGCCTATTACTTTATTTATAGGCCTAATATTAATAATAATATTATTTATTACTATTAGGCCTACTGTAGTGTAGTGTTATTATTAGAAATTAGGATTACTACTAGATCTAGTACTAGTCTAATAATTTATTATATTGATTGGAATGGTAATCTATCGTTTTGGGTACGTAAAATCGCCCGCGGCTATTTATGTACGAAAACGTTACCTCATTGTCAAGGCTTTAATAGAAGTATATTGTCATACTTTTGTGTCAAATATTATAGATAAATGAATAATAAACCTAAATCAATGGCTAAATATATCGATATAGGCCAGAAATTAACTTTAAACAGCAGTGTCTGAGAGCAAGATTTGCTATATAAACTATTATAAACAGCAGCCATTTGTAAAATAGAGTGGCTTCCCCCTGAATCTGGCGCTAAAAGCTTATAAAAATAAAACTTAGACAAGATGGCTGCTATAGTAAATGAGCATGGTTGCATCTGTTGGAAACATCGCTAGTCTTCATTTATTACGGAAAAGTTTTAATTCAATTTTTTAAAAACAGGTACATAAATGAATCAAGGAAACATTTTTGAATTTTTTAAAACATAAATCCTCCTCAAAATGTGAAATAATTATTAAAATTTAAGAAGTCACCTGTTTTTCACATTACAAATCGCGGGCGATTTTACGTACCCAAAACGATAGATTACCGATTGGAATGGTTAGGCCAGATCTAGATACTCTAGATCTCTAGAATCTAGATTCTAGATCTAGATCTAGATCTAGTAGTAAAAGCTTGAGGAAAGTAGTTTACCATTAACTGTAACAAACAGCAAACTGATTGTAAAATCTAGATCTAGATATCTAGATTCTAGGCCCTATTGTCAATGATTGGAAGAAAAAATAAATAAAATGAAAGGAAGAAAAATTATGTCAGTCATTTTTGGACAGATTTTTGTTGCTTTTAATGTTAAAATAAAAGAGGCATTTTGACAAATGGAAAAGAAACAGAATCCAGGCAGATGTAGATAGATCTAGAGAAAAAGTAAAACCAATTTGTATAAATCTAAGACCTAAGAGATCTAAGATCTAGATCTATTAAATAAAGAGGAAATAATGGGGATTGTAGGGAAAAAAAGTCACTGGGGAAAAAAAAAACAGGAAAAAAAAACAGAAAAAAGTCACAGGAAAAAAGGTCGTGGAAAAAAAAGACACAGGAAAAAAAGTCACTGGAAAAAAATCACAAATGTAAATTAACATGGAATTTGTTAATACTTTTATGTATTACGTTAATCAACTTACAATTAATTAAATGTAATTTAACCATTTTAGATGTATACTAGACTTACCCGTCATCCCTTGGATAACTGTGGGTTTCGGGGGTCACCCATAAATGACATCACGTCTGTCACTCATCATCACAAAATAACCAGACCACACATTCAAAAAGACTTTTTTATCTTTTAAAAACACCGATTTCGGCTGAGCGTAGGTCTGACCACACTATCCCTTCATATACTGACGTCACAGGTGACCTACTCAACTCTACTTCACCTGCCCAGTGTCCCGCCAAGTCTCAGACAACATGTTTTTATCGTTTGAAAAAACAATTCCGGTCGAGCATGTCTCTGATCACACTATCCCTTCATATGCTTAGGACAAAGAAACAGATGAACTCTACTTCACCTGCCCTGTATCCCGCCAAGTTCAGATAGCCAACTGTATCATTCATATCTCTAAAAAAATTTAAAAAATTTAAACATTGACGTGATGTGTATAGAACCCGTGCCATCCACATGAAAGCCTATTACACTTTCTTGGCAACCTGATATTTAGATCGATAAATAACTTTCTTGGACAGATTGTAGAGCTAGAGAAATTTATTGTAAAACTAAATGAAAAAGACAGTTGAAAATTGATATAAGAGTTGGAACGAAATAAATACAGCAAACGGACGTATTGTTAAAGTTATAGCCGACAGAAAATTAGCGTTATAACGCGTTAAAGATCTGAATGAGCCTGAAATTTTGGTTTGAAGCCGCCATTTATTGTACTAAAAAGTAAACAAATCATGTAAAGCCATTCTTTGACACTTTTATAATTAATGTGGTTCATCTACAAATGAATAAATCAATTAATTAATTAACGTCTTTAAATAAATTTGTGATTAACAGTCTGTCTGAAAACAAAAATTGTTCTCTACCTACATACTATTTTACAGCTCTACAAATAGTACAGATTCTATCCAGTAGCCAATCAGACAAACAAACAATTAAATAAATATTCAAACATGTAAGCAAATTTGAGTTTTAGTAGTATTTAGATGCGTGGTTTGTATTCATATAGTAATATTTATAACACATAAAATATTTTAGTATCAAGTTTGTAGGTTTTATTTGTGATTCTATTTTGGGGTCACCAGACGTCACGCTTTTTTGACGATTTTTACCTCCTCCTTCCCCTCCGTCACACATCGTCACAAAAAACCAGACGCCCGCCCCCCCCCCCCTAAAATGACGTCACACCTCCGCCTACAGCTCCCCTCAAAATGCAGTTGAATTTTTCTTAAACCATCGATATTTTTCCAAAATCTTGTCTGAACTCTGTCGACATAGAATATTTTAATCAATTTCTATTACAATTTATTAAAACAGTTTTCTAAAATGCAAAATAACGTCTAAAATTAGTTTTCTAACATTACTTTTTTAAAATGCAAAAGTGTGACGTCGCACCATCTGAACCCCCCCCCCCTCATCACACACCGTAACAAAATTACGGACCCCACTCCCCCCTACGAGTGTGACATCATTTATACGGACGACCCCTTTACATATAATATTTAAAAGAATTTAATATGATGTTCCAACCTTTTTGGTTTCAATCGTGTTTTTTTAAATATTAACTTTAAATTAGCGTGAAATCGCATAAAGAAAAAGTTAAGTGATTTACTCTTCTCAACTAATCACAAAAATAGTTCAACCACCTTTATTGCTCACATTTATCAGGCTCTTTACATAACAAAGCCTAGGATCAAAAGAGTAAGCCGACACGATACAAAGGCTGTGATTAACGCTAAACGTAAACAAAACACAATATGGACGGACAAAGCCGGCTGAGGAGAAGCCGACCAAGATAAGGCAAAAACATATGCAAACACAATGATGGGCCTACATTTATTTTATAATAATTTTCCACCCTGCATTATTTTAACTAAATACGTAACAAATGTTGACGTTGCCAGTTGCTAGGCACATCTTACAATATTTTAACTTATTATTGTTGTTAACAAATATGCTACGAAAAAAAACCAAGCACATTAATGAACACCCAACATTTTATAATTATCAAAATTTATAAAAATTAAATCAAAATATTTCTAAGAATATTTTTGAGACTTTTTTCTGTGACTTTATTATTTCTGTGACTTTTTTCTTTTGTGACTTTTTTTCTGTGACTTTTTTTCCTAGCAAAAACTGACTTTTTCTGTGTTTATTTTTCTGTGTCTTTTTTTCCGTTCACCATAACGGGGGTGGGGTGGCGGGGCTACACCATTTAGGGGAATGACACCAAGGGAAAAAAAGCAAAATATTCCAGTTAAATAAATAGTTAATAAGAGAAATGATTAATTAGAGTAAAATAGACTTTTAGGAGCAAAGTTGTCAAGTCCCGACAAGTTTACGTCATGACATCATGACGTAAATGTCATGACGTAAACCTGCCATCTGTTATTAATAACAGACTATAGATAAACATCGTTAGTAGAAAAAGTAGAAAATAAATGATTTTTAAAAAAATATATAATAATACACTGCTACTTAAATAACGATAAAGAAAAGCGTGGGTCACTTTATTATCCATTGGAAACCTTTACTAATATTTAAAGTGTAAATTTGATTATGATGATCGTTTCATGTCCAGTGCGAACCAAGCCGGGTGCGATCCTGGCCTGGAAGGCTATTTTAAGATGTTTTTCGATGAAGTTTTGCTATATTCTGGTTTTAGGCGAATCACTGACTTTGTTGTGCTACTGAGTGAGATATAGAATCTAGTTCTACAGCAATCAACACTCATTGACTAACCTATAGATTCTAGAATCGAGATCTAGATCTATAATATTAAACTAAATTGTTAAATTAAACATGGATTTTCATCAATTAATGAACATAGCTGCTTCAAAACAGGAAAACCTGAGCAAAACTGTAGGTGTAGTGTAGTCACTCATTGTAGTGTAGCAGTCAGCAGAGTGTAGTGTAGTTGTAGTGAATGTTAAGAGTAGGGTAATCTATCGTTTTAGGTAGGCCTACGTAAAATCGCCCGCGACTGGTAATGTGAAAAATAGGTGACTCCTTAAATTTTAATAATTATTTCACATTTTGAGGAGGATTTATGTTTTCTAAAATACAAACATGTTTCCTTGTTTAAGTTTTATTTTTATAAGCTTATAGAATAGGTTGAATTATGGATTTTTTTAAATAAAATATTCTGTTATTTTAAATACACCATTAACTTCCTTACCCCTTAAGAGAACATTTGACACCACATTTAAATATCTAGCTTATTCGGTTGACGAGAAAAGAGAGAATTTGAAAATTTGTCTAGAATGGAAAATGTATGCCGAAACGGCATTCTTGCTCCTCGACCGGCATAACATTACGTCGTGGACTTGTGTGCACGAGCTTTTCATTCCCGCCACAGAAATTGCGTCAGCTTAGGTAATTTACTCACCGAAAAATAACAAAAAGCAACTGGTTGATAATTAAACTAGATCTAGTTATTTTATTATTTATTAAATTCTACTCTACATGTTATTCATACCATTTTATGAAATAATGAACACCTGCATAAATCAAATGACCATAATTGATAATAAATATTTTTATTTCAAATTCTAATTTTCTAATTTTAAATAATAAATATGCTTAAAATGATATGATAGTATTGATAGTAATAGTTATGATAGTTTATAAATAAATACAAATACATTTTACACTCAATTCACATTATATTGAGTCAACAGTGTGGCAGCTGAGGTTCATACATGGTATTTTTTTTAGTGTCTTTTTTTTTTTTTTTTTTTTTTTTTTACATTAAATTTTTTTTCATCTTGAAAACATGACGTATGTGATTTTTTTTTTTTTTTGAATAAAATCTCCAAACATCGTCACTCGCGTGATTGCTTGCTTACGTTTACTATCCTGTGGATGAAAAATCCCACCACGGTCGCGGGTCACCGTGAGTTCAGCAGGCCTGTAGTACACGTCATAGGATGAACACGCGTACACGAGATGGTCGGTGTCTTCACTTCTCTCTCCCCCCCCCCCCCTTTTTTTCAAGCAAATTGAAAAACAGACCTACTTCCCTACTTCTGGTAATTTTTTTTTTAAAGTTCGATCATTTTTTTTTAAGTTCACATATCAGGCATGCTAGACAGCCAGCTGTATAAAAAAAAAAATATTTTTTAAACTAGATCTACGTCTAGCTTAAAAAAATAAATAAATAAACGCTTAAAATGCCCATAAACAGATTATTTAGCGCCAAAAAAAAAAAAGGCCGCTGAACGAGCATGTTTTTAAAATACGCAGCAATGAAAAAGGCTAACGGCCGATCAATTAAGTCTAAAAATCGCCCGTAATTAGGCCTAGCTCTGAAAAAGGCCACTGAACGAGCATCACTGATTATATAAGCGAATAGGCCACGCGGCGTTGACGAGGTTAACCACCGGTCACGAATGCAGCAACTGTCGGCCCACAGTGAAGAAAAAATCAATATACTAATAAAATTACTAATACAATAATAATGTCCATAATTTTACTTTTTCCGCACATGCTACAATTGAATTATAATTAAAATACTAGACTTAACAGTTCATTCCGTAAAAAACGAAAACTAGTTGTTTCAGTCTGGCAACTAGCGTAGCAATGACGTCATGATACTAAAAATAGCGGATAGAAATGTCAGCGTGGGTACCTCATTTTGGGATAAGATTTTGGAAACCAGAATCAATAATAATGTAAATATACAAGTTAAATATCTCAATTATATAATAACTTAGAGTCTGTCGGGCCGTTTTCCCCGGAGGTCGGTCGTTTTTAGCGGCGGTTCAGTTTTTACGGAGAGCGCTCCACTAGAAATCCGCTCATTATTTACAACAACAAATATCTCGATTTTTTCTGGCATTCTAAGGCATATTATCCATTTTATTAGCATTTTGCATTAAAATAATGATGAAAAATTGCGAGATTAACAGGTTTTTCATTTGTCGTGGATAGGACCCCTAAAATAAACGTAAAAACCGTCTAAAAACGACGCGTGAGGTTTCAGGGTCAGAGGTCAATCCAGCCATCTAAGCAACGCGCCAGACTATTATAGAATATAGTGCGAGATTCAGGGGGAAGCCACTCTATTTTACAAGTGGCTGCTGTTTATATAGCAAATCTTGCTCTCAGACACTGCTGTTTAAAGTTAATTTCTGGCCTATATCGATATATTTAGCCATTGATTTAGGTTTATTATTCATTTATCTATAATATTTGACACAAACATATGACAATATACTTCTATTAAAGCCTTGAAAATGAGGTAACGTTTTCGTACATTAATAGCCATGGGCAATTTTACTTACCAAAAACGATAGATTACCATGTTAAGTTACTAAGTTAAAAAGTAAGGAAGTTAAAAGTAAGTTAGGTTAGGGCTAAAACTGCTAAAAGTTTTAAAAAGGAGGCCTACTAAAGTAAAAGGGTAATCTCACAATATAGATCTAGAATCTAAATCTAGCATCGGAAATTATCTGATAATGTTTGTTGAGTTTCGGTAACATTAATTACTGTAAACCATTTATTTGACCGTTGAAATAAAAATAAAGTCAAGTGCATTAAATTAGGCTAATAAAATGTTTTAACTTAATTTTTGGATGTTTTATACAAAACTACCGATATCTACTGTACACATGTCCATTTCTAAATAGATCTATATCCAGGTCAAATTCTTGTGTTTTCTCCTTCTGGAAGACGAGTTTTTAAATTTTCAAGTTTGTGGTATGACGTCGTAGGCGATTCTAGTTCTCCCTATGAAAAGCCCTAGGTCCCGGATGAGACGAATAAAACCAACCAATCAAAGCTTTTTATAACTAGGTTAACTATAAATAGCTTCTACAATATGTGCGGGACACTGTCCATACGATAGATAATAATAAGGCTAATAAAGCAACCTGAGAGGTGAATATGGGTGGCCTCAGCTTGGGTGACGATTAGGGTTGTTTCACATCGCTGCTAGACTAGCCTAGATCTAGATGCTCTGTATTTATAGAATCTATGTAATTTCTAATTTTTTTTGTTGTTTTAAATTATTTCGATCATCTACTTCTTCTAAATCTCGTTTGTGTCTCTACACACAAGCATATCTAAGCAAATGTTACGTTATGTCCTTTTGTTATGATTATTATAATGCGTCCCTGGAGTCATCACTGGGTCATCCGTAATGTGTAGTTAACAAATTTAATTAACATGTTTTTTATTTGGTTTTGCAATCTATTAATTAATAATGCAATAATCAACAACACGTTTAAAAGTGTAAAATATTTATTTTAGTTATTAAAATTGGATTAAAACATATAAAATACGATCTTTACGCCAGTCGGTTCAGGTGGCAGCAGGAAACAAAAAAAAAAAAGAGGCGGAAAAAATACTGCAAGTAGCATGTCACTAAAACATGAATATCTTAAATTCTATGTGTAGGAATATAAAATGATTTATACATATTAGAGTAGAAAAAGAATGGCAGAGGAGTAATATAGTACTTTCGGTTTGTCTCTGTGTGAAACGGTTACAAAATAGCGCCTGATGAAAGTCGGGAGTTCTGAATTTTCTCCTTTGTGTGATCGGCTGTTGAACTTCACTCTAGAACAGGGGTCTCCAAACTTTTCAGCCCGAGGGCCGCATTAACTATCAAATATCAGTTCGGGGCTAGAGTTTCTTTAAGGCATCTCTTCGGGGTGGTGGCGCCCCCCCCCCCCCCCAACAAAATATAGTTTATATAGAAATATATATATATATTTTAAGTGTTCACCCCCATCTCCCCCCCCCCCCCCACCCCCCGTAGTAAAAAGTCTGGAAGAAACACTTTCGGGGGGCGACAACACACTCGAGGTCCAAGTTTGCTCTGCTCTCAAATTATTCTTAACGTATTTCATTCTTGAAAATGTTTGTTCACACCGGTATGTTGTTCCAAACTTTAAAAGGTACTTTGATGCAGAAGTTTTAATGTTAGGAAAGTCTTCCTTGTGCAAAAACTTATGAAAACCCATCCGCCTTTCTTTGAAAGCATCTCTATGGAAGTCATTTTCTTGCAATTCAATAACCGCATGATGCAGTTCATCTTTGCAACTGGCCACATTTGTTTCAAATGGGTTTTGAAACAGTCAGACTTCTTCTGCCTTTGAATCCAAGTAAGAGAACCGCTACTGAAACAGCAGCTGGAGGTCTTTGATGACCTCGCATGCAAATGACGTGGCGAACTCAGTGGTTGCTTCAGCCGTAAAGACCTTGCACTGCTGAAAGTGTGTCAAGTTGTTCATATCTTCATCAGACAATAGGGGCTGTGGCTTGCCTTTACTTCCAGGAAGTCACCTATTTTTTTATTAATTTAAATATTCTGCTCAGAACGTTCTCGCAAAATGAGCCATCTTACTGATGTGAAATATGATCAATCTTGCGATTTTGCGTTTGTCTCTGAACTATCTATGGTAAGATATTCTCTCCGGTAACAGTGTCACACATTATATGTAGTGAAGCCAGCTCTTGTGTTATGTTCATGTCTTGATCCACACCTCTAATGAACACAAGCAGTTGAGAGGTGGAACAGCTGTCCAGCGACTCATCCATTGCAAATGAAAAATGGTGAAGCTTGCTTGCATATTTCGCTATTTGAGTCACGATGTTTTCACCAATGTCTGCAACACGGCGGCAATGGTATTTGCACACTAAGCTACATTTTCTAATTGTTTTGAATTTTCTGTGCAAAGTTCCTCAGTCACCTCTAACAAACATTTATTCAGTGGACAAAAAGATCGTCGCGGGCCGGATGAAATGACCTCGCGGGCCTATGCGGCCCGCGGGCCGTAGTTTGGAGACCCCTGCTCTAGAACAATATTTAGTAGCAGCAATAATTAGCATGTACACTTAAAATAATTAGAAATACAAAATAATTATCAAAACAGTATTTAAAATGCAACTAAAATCACTCCATGCACATTTTTAAACATTTTGTATTAAAAATAATATGGCTGCAAATAAATGGTGGTCTACAGTATTTCCGGTGGTTTCCGGAACGGCTCGACTGACTACGCTATGGTTTTACTGTTTTTTACTGCTGTACAATTCCATAATAATAACCAACGCTATATCGTGATTTTACCAATAAAATATAAAAGTATTTACTACTTAGCCTAACGCTATTAAATGTATAACTTGGGAATTTTTTATACCATATCAGAATAGAATCTTCTTTAAAAAGGGGTGTAAGGTTACTGGTAGTTAACTAAAATACACACATGGCTTGGCTAACGGCAGAACTCCTCCTCCTCCCCCCCCCCTCCCAGCCTGGCCTCAACTAACCGGCGGGCTTGTTAAATTGATGTGTCGTACCATAACCAAATCTCCCTTCATTATCATTAGCGATATTTATTTAGTTAATTAGGCTAACTAATTAATTTTATACTGAGATTACACATTTCCCGTAAGATGCTATCGCAATTGGATTATAATTTTTTAGTTATAAGCCTATATTTGTACTATTAAAGAAACAGCTTTGTTGTTTCAATACCACCCTCTCCCCTTCTTGAACTCAAAGTTAAACTTTTAACTCTGTAAAGAAATGTGGTATGGCGTGAGGGGGCTGGTGAGTAGGGTAAATACTCCTTGGAAAAAAATCTGCCGTGGTATTTATCTTGGATGACGTTGGCACTTGCGGTGAAACTTTTTTTTTCAAAACCAGAACCGAACTAGGCTCTATCTAATGAAAATCAAGGAGTGGGGTAAAAAAAACTTTGTGTGTGTGTTTGTGGGGTCTTCACTCCCAGACTAGGTGGATGTCTACATGTTGAATTAAATATCGTATTTACTACTACTCACTGTCATTATAAAACAAACAAAACTCATATCCTACATGTACAAAGAAAAATTAAGACGACACAGCTTGTGTAAAAAAAAAAAAACAGTTGTAATTAAACCACGGTATTCAAAACTACACTGGGGTCACCCATATTATAAGCCACGTCATGATTTTTTAACGATCCCCTCCCCACACTCCTCAACGTCACATATGGTCGCAAAAGGCCAGGACCCAACACTTAATAATATGACGTCAAGTTGCATATTCTTCATGTCTTGACCCACGTGCCAATGTTGATACAAATCTCTCAGTTAGAAGTGCCCCAAGTTTCGATCTAGACAGACTGACGACAGAGGAAGTGAGTTAAATAAAAGCTTGTAAAAACCAAAGATGAATGTTTCTAGTCCATGCGAATGTTCCTAGTCCATGTGAATGTTCCTAGACCATGTGAATGTTCATTACAACCCCTAACGAGCTGTTCACCATGAACCTTTATCTTAGCTGTTTGCCAAACTTTTTGTTTGACATAAACATAGCCTTCAAAAATCACCTTTAAATTGCCTTTTAAATATGATTGAATGAACTCCATTCCAGAAATAATAATAACATTTGTAGAAAAATAAATTTTAATTTATACCATGCTTCTGTGTGCCAAGGTGGATATGAACCAAGCTTCATGTTTTGTATTGTTAAAAATATTTATTTGATCTGCACGGCTCCCACATGGGGATGACGTGTTGTTGGTGCAGATCTTTGATCATATACAACTAAGGTCACTCATTGACCTTTAAATAGCATGCTTTTAGGTAGAAAGTCATTGAACATTACATTCATTCAGATTGTGACACACAAACTTTGACACACCACCCAACTGTGACAACCCCCCACCCAATGTGACACATACACCACCCAATGTGACACATACACCACCCAATATGACACATGCACCCCCCAATGTGACACATACACCTCCTATGTGACACATACGCCACCCAATGTGACACATATGCCACCCAATAATACACATGCACCCCCCAATGTGACACATACGCCACCCAATATGACACATGCACCCCCCAATGTGACACATACACCACCCAATGTGACACATGCACCCCCCAATGTGACACATGCACCACCCAATGTGACACATGCACCCCCCAATGTGACACATGCACACCCCCCCAAATGTGACACATGCACCACCCAATATGACACATGCACCCCCCAATGTGACACATACACCTCCTATGTGACACACTATTTCTTTGTTTTTATTAGAAAGTCGCCCGCTACAGCCTAGATCTACCTGCACCCAAAAAAGAAGAGAAAAAAACAAAGCCCAAGTCAAAAATTGTTCAAAGTCTCATAAAAGAGAAAGAACAGGAAAGAGGTTAGTTGCCACATTCTTAGTATGTTAAAACAATCAGGTTAGTTCAACCATTCTTAGCTGATCTGATAGTCAAAGTGCTGGGAGTTGATTATATTAAAACAATCAGGTTAGTTCAACCATTCTTAGCTGATCTGATAGTCAAAGTGCTGGGAGTTGATTATATTAAAACAATCAGGTTAGTTCAACCATTCTTAGCTGATCTGATAGTCAAAGTGCTGGGAGTTGATTATATTAAAACAATCAGGTTAGTTCAACCATTCTTAGCTGATCTGATAGTCAAAGTGCTGGGAATTGATTATATTAAAACAATCAGGTTAGTTCAACCATTCTTAGCTGATCTGATAGTCAAAGTGCTGGGAGTTGATTATATTAAAACAATCAGGTTAGTTCAACCATTCTTAGCTGATCTGATAGTCAAAGTGCTGGGAGTTGACCCTTTAGTTGTGATGAATGTTTATAAATGTTTTTAAAAAAATTTGATATGCTGAGTTCTAAACAATCAAGTAATTTTTCAAGACAAACTTGTAAGAAACCTTTGTGGCTTATCTTTCAGTTGGAGAGTTTTGAATAATGTTTTTCTTGCCCCTCTACCAGAATAATTCTATTTTTTTTGTAATACACGATGATCATTTTTCTTGCTGTGTATTGTATATTTATTTGTTAACAACAGCATTGTCAATATTCATTTAAAAATTTGGCAGTGTAAGCCGTTTAAATTTTTCTACTGAAACAAAAATGTTGATGTGATAGTAGTTTATGTAGTACAAGATGGTTTATTCTAATGTGTTTCTACCACCCAGTTGACTTGAGTTATGCTCATCAATATTTGAGATTAGAAGAATACTATTAGCCATATTAGTCTCATAGGGAAAGAGTTAACTTTTCTTGGCAATTGTGAGTTGACATCAATGTTTTACATTTTTTTTACCAGAGGCAAGTGAAAAAAAAAACGTCTTTAAAATTCCTAAAAAAACTTCGGTTGATAAAGACGAATTTATAAAATCTTTATTTGACGACGGTGATGGACCATCAGGCCTGAAGAGTAAACCAATTGAAGCCACTAAAATAGCCGAAGTCTCAAGACATGGGACAGGTGATTCCAAACATGGGACAGGTGATTCCAAACATGGGACAGGTGATTCCAAACGTGGGACAGGTGATTCCAAACATGGGACAGGTGATTCCAAACATGGGACAGGTGATTCCAAACATGGGACAGGTGATTCCAAACATGGGACAGGTGATTCCAAACATGGGACAGGTGATTCCAAATTGCGGGCTGGCAAGTCCAAGCTCATTCCCAACAAACATGAGAAGCATAAAGACTTACCTTCTCCCTCTAATTGCGTGCCCTCTACAACAATCCAGACAAAACATGAAGGATTATCAGAGAGAGAAAAAATACTGGCCAAACTGCAAGCCATTAAACAAAGAACTCTAGAAGCCATTCATAAAGAAAATGCCATGAAAGGCAGGCGGCCAAAAGGAGAGAAGTCACAGAGAAAGTCATCTAAATCTGATGACAAACATGAAGACAAAGCAAAGTCAGCTGAAATAGTTCGAGATGATGTGTCCTCTGATGATGAACTGGTACCCGCGGCTCTAGATGTCATGCTGTCAGAAAGAAATGCTAAATTAGAAAAAGAAAAAATTGCACGCATGGCCAAACAAGCATGGGAGAGAGCCACCAAGAAACCAGAAGAAAAAAATTCATTGGGTACATCAAGTCGTAAGTCATCTTTAAATTCATCAAGTCGTAAGTCATCTTTAAATTCATCTAGTCACAAGCTATCTGTTATGAAAAAAGCATCCAAGAAAACAAAACACAAGGACAAAAGTGACTTAAGTAATCTGAAGTCATCCTCAAAAAGTGACTTGTCTATATTTCCTAAACCTAAGCGTAATCTGAAGTCATCGTCAAAGCAAGTGCGGCCGCCTCCTATGGATTTTAAATCTATTCTAGCCATGGCTGAAGAAAAACAAAAGGAACCGCCTAAAGCTGTAGTTGTAGTGAAAAAAAAGGAAGAAGAAGATAGACCTCTTACACAAGAGGAAAAAGATCGCAAGGAAAGACAAAAATCCCAAGCCTATCAGGCTTGGCTAAGGGTTGGTGGGGAGCGGCCAGGTGAGGACCCCCACGCAACCAGCAGCACATCCGACAAACTCACAGCAGGCAAGAATGGCTTAGCCAAGAAATCTGATTTAACTGGTAATGGCTTAGCCAAGAAATCTGATTTAACTGGCAATGGCTTAGCCAAGAAATCTGATTTAACTGGCAATGGCTTAGCCAAGAAATCTGATTTAACTGGTAATGGCTTAGCCAAGAAATCTGTGAATAAAACTGTTTTAGTTTGTGGCTCACCACAAGACACAAGCAACCCTTTTGATCGTATTATGAAACAAGTTCACAGAAAACGACCAACTGACCATTCCTCCTCAGGTGAGTCCCTATTTATATCTAATATTTATAGTAATTATGTATTAATGTAATTATGTATTTATGTAATTACTAGCCGTCACGGCCAGGCCCTGCTCTGGCTTCTGTGAAAAACCTTTCTGTTAAAGACCATTACCTGTGTGTTTATTAATCATCATAAACCCGGCATTGCCCACCCAAACCACAACCAACCAAAACCTAAACAACAAAACGCAAACATAACGCTAACACAATTACAAATACAAACGAAAACAAAAACCTAACAACAAACCCAACCACAACCACAAACACCAATACGAACACAAAGAAAAAAAAATGAAAAAGCAAACGAAAACGAACCAAATCCAAACGCAAAACCAACCACAAACACAAATACAAACCCAAAGAAAAAACACAAACGAAAACGAAAAAAGAAAGAACAAAAACGAACCAAATCAAAACGTAACCACTAACGCAAACCCAACCTAAACACAAAGAAAACACTAACACGAACATAATGCAAAGTGCTCACAGTCTAGCCCAGGGCAGAATCGCCTGTTTCAGCTTAATAATCAACTATAGTACCCCAACTTATTCATAGTCTTTTGCACTCACTTAAACGAACGTAGGTGCCAAACCAAACCAAATGAACAATTATAATACTCCAAGCTTATTCGTAAAATACCTACAACATTTGCACTTGATCAATCCCCGCTAATTATGTAATTATTTTTTTCCCAACACCAAAACAAAGTAATAAAAAGTAAATTCTTTTCCACTAATGCAATGTTTTATAAAGGGAAGTAATTGTGTTTTCCTAATTTATCAAAGGGAAGTAAGTGCTAAAGGACTAAATATAAATAATTTTCAGACATAATTAGAATTTTTGTAAAAGATGATAATTTTTTAAATTGTGTTTAATGAACATGCCGACAATTATTACTATCAGTTTGAAAAATGAAAATTTTTTCCCAACACTTTCAATAGTAATTTTTTAACTCATAAATTTAGACTATGAGCACGATAATAATCTAACACTTAAATCCATCAAAGTATGTCAACGACAAACTTATTACATGTTACATACAGAATTGAGCTTTATATATTAGATTTATATCTGCTGTTCTAATAGAGAGGGTGTAAAAACAAAAGTAGCTAAAGGAGAGTTGTAATAAAAGTATCTAATGTAGAGTTGTAATAAAAGTAGCTAAAGTAGAGTTGTAATAAAAGTAGCTAAAGTACAGTTGTAATAAAAGTAGCTAAAGTACAGTTGTAATAAAAGTATCTAATGTAGAGTTGTAATAAAAGTAGCTAAAGTAGAGTTGTAATAAAAGTAGCTAAAGTACAGTTGTAATAAAAGTAGCTAAAGTACAGTTGTAATAAAAGTAGCTAAAGTAGTGTTGTAATAAAAGTAGCTAATGTAGAGTTGTAATAAAAGTATCTAATGTAGAGTTGTAATAAAAGTAGCTAAAGTAGAGTTGTAATAAAAGTAGCTAAAGTACAGTTGTAATAAAAGTAGCTAAAGTAGAGTTGTAATAAAAGTAGCTAAAGTAGAGTAGTAAGAAAAGTAGCTAAAGTAGATCTACTGTAGGGGTGGGCTGGCCCACAGATCTACTGTAGTGCTGGCCCACAGATCTACTGTAGGGGTGGCCCACAGATCTACTGTAGGGGTGGGCTGGCCCACAGATCTACTGTAGGGGTGGGCTGGCCCACAGATCTACTGTAGGGGTGGGCTGGCCCACAGATCTACTGTAGGGGTGGGCTGGCCCACAGATCTACTGTAGGGGTGGGCTGGCCCACAGATCTACTGTAGGGGTGGCCCACAGGTCTACTGTAGGGGTGGGCTGGCCCACAGATCTACTGTAGGAGTGGCCCACAGATCTACTGTAGGGCTGGCCCACAGATCTACTGTAGGGGTGGCCCACAGATCTACTGTAGGGGTGGGCTGGCCCACAGATCTACTGTAGGGCTGGCCCACAGATCTACTGTAAGGGTGGACTGGCCCACAGATCTACTGTAGGGGTGGCCCACAGATCTACTGTAGGGGTAGGCTGGCCCACAGATCTACTGTAGGGCTGGCCCACAGATCTACTGCAGGGCTGGCCCACAGATCTACTGTAGGGGTGGCCCACAGATCTACTGTAGGGGTGGCCCACAGATCTACTGTAGGGCTGGCCCACAGATCTACTGTAGGGGTGGCCCACAGATCTACTGTAGGGCTGGCCCACAGATCTACTGTAGGGGTGGGCTGGCCCACATATCTACTGTAGGGGTGGGCTGGCCCACAGATCTACTGTAGGGGTGGGCTGGCCCACAGATCTACTGTAGGGGTGGGTTGGCCACAGATCTACTGTAGGGCTGGCCCACAGATCTACTGTAGGGCTGGCCCACAGATCTACTGTAGGGCTGGCCCACAGATCTACTGTAGGGCTGGCCCACAGATCTACTGTAGGGCTGGCCCACAGATCTACTGTAGGGCTGGCCCACAGATCTACTGTAGGGGTGGACTGGCCCACAGATCTACTGTAGGGGTGGCCCACAGATCTACTGTAGGGGTGGCCCACAGATTTACTGTAGGGGTGGCCCACAGATCTACTGTAGGGGTAGGCTGGCCCACAGATCTACTGTAGGGCTGGCCCACAGATCTACTGTAGGGGTGGGCTGGCCCACAGATCTACTGTAGGGGTGGCCCACAGATCTACTGTAGGGGTGGCCCACAGATCTACTGTAGGGGTAGCCCACAGATCTACTGTAGGGCTGGCCCACAGATCTACTGTAGGGGTGGGCTGGCCCACAGATCTACTGTAGGGCTGGCCCAAGGATCTACTGTAGGGGTGGCCCACAGATCTACTGTAGGGGTGGGCTGACCCACAGATCTACTGTAGGGCTGGCCCACAGATCTACTGTAGGGGTGGCCCACAGATCTACTGTAGGGCTGGCCCACAGATCTACTGTAGGGGTGGCCCACAGATCTACTGTAGGGGTGGGCTGGCCCACAGATCTACTGTAGGGGTGGGCTGGCCCACAGATCTACTGTAGGGGTGGGCTGGCCCACAGATCTACTGTAAGGGTGGGCTTGCCCACAGATCTACTGTAGGGGTGGCCCACAGGTCTACTGTAGGGGTGGGCTGGCCCACAGATCTACTGTAGGAGTGGCCCACAGATCTACTGTAGGGGTGGCCCACAGATCTACTGTAGGGGTGGCCCACAGATCTACTGTAGGGGTGGCCCACAGATCTACTGTAGGGGTGGGCTGGCCCACAGATCTACTGTAGGGGTGGCCCACAGATCTACTGTAGGGGTGGCCCACAGATCTACTGTAGGGCTGGCCCACAGATCTACTGTAGGGGTGGCCCACAGATCTACTGTAGGGGTGGCCCACAGATCTACTGTAGGGGTGGGCTGGCCCACAGATCTACTGTAGGAGTGGGCTGGCCCACAGATCTACTGTAGGGCTGGCCCACAGATCTACTGTAGGGGTGGCCCACAGATCTACTGTAGGGGTGGCCCACAGATCTACTGTAGGGGTGGCCCACAGATCTACTGTAGGGGTGGCCCACAGATCTACTGTAGGGCTGGCCCACAGATCTACTGTAGGGCTGGCCCACAGATCTACTGTAGGGGTGGCCCACAGATCTACTGTAGGGGTGGGCTGGCCCACAGATCTACTGTAGGGGTGGGCTGGCCCACAGATCTACTGTAGGGGTGGCCCACAGATCTACTGTAGGGGTGGCCCACAGATCTACTGTAGGGGTGGGCTGGCCCACAGATCTACTGTAGGAGTGGCCCACAGATCTACTGTAGGGGTGGCCCACAGATCTACTGTAGGGCTGGCCCACAGATCTACTGTAGGGCTGGCCCACAGATCTACTGTAGGGCTGGCCCACAGATCTACTGTAGGGGTGGCCCACAGATCTACTGTAGGGGTGGGCTGGCCCACAGATCTACTGTAGGGGTGGGCTGGCCCACAGATCTACTGTAGTGCTGGCCCACAGATCTACTGTAGGGGTGGCCCACAGATCTACTGTAGGGGTGGCCCACAGATCTACTGTAGGGGTGGCCCACAGATCTACGGTAGGGGTGGCCCACAGATCTACTGTAGTGGTGGCCCACAGATCTACTGTAGGGGTGGGCTGGCCCACAGATCTACTGTAGGGGTAGGCTGGCCCACAGATCTACTGTAGGGCTGGCCCACAGATCTACTGTAGGGCTGGCCCACAGATCTACTGTAGGGGTGGCCCACAGATCTACTGTAGGGGTGACCCACAGATCTACTGTAGGGGTGGGCTGGCCCACAGATCTACTGTAGGGGTGGCCCACAGATCTACTGTAGGGGTGGCCCACAGATCTACTGTAGGGGTGGCCCACAGATCTACTGTAGGGGTGGGCTGGCCCACAGATCTACTGTAGGGGTGGCCCACAGATCTACTGTAGGGGTGGGCTGGCCCACAGATCTACTGTAGGGGTGGCCCACAGATCTACTGTAGGGCTGGCCCACAGATCTACTGTAGGGGTGGCCCACAGATCTACTGTAGGGGTGGCCCACAGATCTACTGTAGGGCTGGCCCACAGATCTACTGTAGGGGTGGCCCACAGATCTACTTTAGGGCTAGCCCACAGATCTACTGTAGGGGTGGGCTGGCCCACAGATCTACTGTAGGGGTAGGCTGGCCCACAGATCTACTGTAGGGCTGGCCCACAGATCTACTGTAGGGGTAGGCTGGCCCACAGATCTACTGTAGGGGTGGCCCACAGATCTACTGTAGGGGTGGGCTGGCCCACAGATCTACTGTAGGGGTGGGCTGGCCCACAGATCTACTGTAGGGGTAGGCTGGCCCACAGATCTACTGTAGGGCTGGCCCACAGATCTACTGTAGGGGTAGGCTGGCCCACAGATCTACTGTAGGGCTGGCCCACAGATCTACTGTAGGGGTGGCCCACAGATCTACTGTAGGGGTGGGCTGGCCCACAGATCTACTGTAGGAGTGGGCTGGCCCACAGATCTACTGTAGGGGTGGCCCACAGATCTACTGTAGGGGTGGCCCACAGATCTACTGTAGGGGTGGCCCACAGATCTACTGTAGGGGTGGCCCACAGATCTACTGTAGGGGTGGCCTACAGATCTACTGTAGGGCTGGCCCACAGATCTACTGTAGGGGTGGCCCACAGATCTACTTTAGGGCTAGCCCACAGATCTACTGTAGGGGTGGGCTGGCCCACAGATCTACTGTAGGGCTGGCCCACAGATCTACTGTAGGGCTGGTCCACAGATCTACTGTAGGGGTGGGCTGGCCCACAGATCTACTGTAGGGGTGGGCTGGCCCACAGATCTACTGTAGGGCTGGCCCACAGATCTACTGTAGGAGTGGCCCACAGATCTACTGTAGGGGTGGGCTGGCCCACAGATCTACTGTAGGGGTGGGCTGGCCCACAGATCTACTGTAGGGCTGGCCCACAGATCTACTGTAGGGCTGGCCCACAGATCTACTGTAGGGCTGGCCCACAGATCTACTGTAGGGGTGGCCCACAGATCTACTGTAGGGGTGGCCCACAGATCTACTGTAGGGCTGGCCCACAGGTCTACTGTAGGGGTGGCCCACAGATCTACTGTAGGGCTGGCCCACAGATCTACTGTAAGGGTGGCCCACAGATCTACTGTAGGGGTGGCCCACAGATCTACTGTAGGGGTGGCCCACAGATCTACTGTAGGGGTGGGCTGGCTCACAGATCTACTGTAAGGGTGGGCTGGCCCACAGATCTACTGTAGGGGTGGCCCACAGATCTACTGTAGGGGTGGGCTGGCCCACAGATCTACTGTAGGGCTGGCCCACAGATCTACTGTAGGGGTGGCCCACAGATCTACTGTAGGGCTGGCCCACAGATCTACTGTAGGGGTGGGCTGGCCCACAGATCTACTGTAGGGCCGGCCCACAGGTCTACTGTTTACACATAGTTTAATATTGCGACGAGGACGAGAATACTCTTAATTCCGTGCATTCAATAACAACTCGAAGATCAGTTTGATTCACAACATTTAATTGTCACTAGACTGCGATACTTGAATATAATACTTAATAGGCTTCACGTTACTACACAATATACACTGGTGCCTACACCTACTGTTCAATGTCTCCTACACTATTGTCACTACACTGTTCTATACAAGTGTAGAGTTAGGGAACAGTGTAGTGACAATATATGTATATCCTAATGATTGTATTTTCTAATAATCTTATTATCTTATTCTCTTTTTACTTCAAATGCTGTTATCTAGATATCCCTAAAAAAGTGGGGCGCATTATTGATTCTGATGAAGACTCTGATTTGGATGGATTTATTGATGATGGGGATGATGGGGAACTTGATTATTCTAAAGAGATTCAAAAATTATTTGGATATAACAAGAACAAGTAAGTAATTCCCATTTGTGTCATGTTTATGTTAAAGAACTGCCGTTATGTAAAACTGTTCACATGGGGTGATGTTGTTTCAGATACAAAGATGAAGAGGATGATGACTTAAATGACATGGAGGCTGATTATTCTACTGTGATGAGGGAGGAGAAACGAAGTGCTAAGCTTGGCCTGATGGAAGACTTGGAGGACATTAGGAGGGAACAAGAGGAATTAAAGAGAAAAGCTCTCTTGAAAAAGCGGACTAAAAAATAGTTATAAAAACAAGTTTTTGTATACAAGTTGGTTGCCTACATATTGTATACAAGTTGGTTGCCTGCATATTGTATACAAGTCGGTTGCCTACGTGTTGTATACAAGTTGGTTGCCTACATATTGTATACAAGTTGGTTGCCTACATATTGTATACAAGTTGGTTGCCTGCATATTGTATACAAGTCGGTTGCCTACGTGTTGTATACAAGTTGGTTGCCTGCATGTTGTATACAAGTTGGTTGCCTACAAGTTGGTTGCCTACATATTGTATACAAGTTGGTTGCCTGCATATTGTATACAAGTCGGTTGCCTACGTGTTGTATACAAGTTGGTTGCCTGCATGTTGTATACAAGTTGGTTGCCTACAAGTTGGTTGCCTGCATATTGTATACAAGTTGGTTGCCTACAAGTTGGTTGCCTACATATTGTATACAAATTGGTTGCCTACAAATACTATACAAGTTAGTTGCCTACATGTTGTATACAAGTTGGTTGCCTACATGTTGTATACAAGTTGGTTGCCTACATGTTGTATACAAGTTGGTTGCCTACAAGTTGGTTGCCTACATATTGTATACAAATTGGTTGCCTACAAATACTATACAAGTTAGTTGCCTACATGTTGTATACAAGTTGGTTGCCTACATGTTGTATACAAGTTGGTTGCCTACATGTTGTATACAAGTTGGTTGCCTACATGTTGTATACAAGTTGGCTGCCTTCCTAGAGCTGACATGTGTACTATGTTACAGCTGCAGTGATTTAGCTGGTACACAATCTGCTAACTCTTATTATGTCTAGTGTTTCATCAAACAACATGAGAGATTTGATGAGCAACCCAAAGCATTGACTAACTCTTATTATGTCTAGTGTTTCATCAAACAACATGAGAGATTTGATGAGCAACCCAAGGGTTAGGGTTGCATTCAGAACTGATTCTTCTACAGGATTGTTATTTTAGTTTCTACTTTTTAATATCTAAGGCCTTTAAAGCTGTAATAGTAAATGGATATAGGTTTTAAAAACATTGAGTACCATATTTAATGTGTCCCATCTCTTTATAATAAGTGTCAGGCAATCTTTCTGTGGTTAACTGTCATCTAACCTGACTGAGATCAGATGACCTGACTGACTGAGATCAGATGACCTGACTGACTGAGATCAGATGACCTGACTGAGATCAGATGACCTGACTGAGATCAGATGACCTGACTGAGATCAGATGACCTGACTGAGATCAGATGACCTGACTGAGATCAGATGACCTGACTGATTAAGATCAGATGACCTGGGTTATTGCTACTAGCCGCCCCATTTAGTTATCGGCTGTCATGTGTACATATATCTGATGAGATTTAAATGAGACATTTTTGTGATTAGAACTAATCTGGGAAGTTTGAAAGAAAAGCTTCATCTGGGTCCAAATGACACAGTGACTAAGTCCAATAAACTTGTAAAAAATAGTAGAAATCTTCTCAACTCATCCACAGTAACTTATGAGTAATTTATTTTTTACTCTAAGACAAAATGATGGTGCAATAAAACAGCTTGTGACTGTTGGTTTACAAGACTGATAATATGTTCGTGTGATAGGGGTAGGGGTCGACATTGCTGTCATGTATGGGGGTAGGGGTCGACATAGCTGTCATGTATGGGGGTAGGGGTTGATATAGCTGTCATGTATGGGGGTAGGGGTTGATATAGCTGTCATGTATGGGGGTAGGGGTTGATATAGCTGTCATGTATGGGGGTAGGGGTTGATATAGCTGTCATGTATGGGGGTAGGGGTCTACATAGCTGTCATGTATGGGGGTAGGGGTCGACATAGCTGTCATGTATGGGGGTAGGGGTCGACATAGCTGTCATGTATGGGGGTAGGGGTCGACATAGCTGTCATGTATGGGGGTAGGGGTCGACATAGCTGTCATGTATGGGGGTAGGGGTTGACATAGCTGTCGTGTATGGGGGTAGGGGTCGACATTGCTGTCATGTATGGGGGTAGGGGTTGATATAGCTGTCATGTATGGGGGTAGGGGTTGATATAGCTGTCATGTATGGGGGTAGGGGTTGATATAGCTGTCATGTATGGGGGTAGGGGTCGACATAGCTGTCATGTATGGGGGTAGGGGTCGACATAGCTGTCATGTATGGGGGTAGGGGTTGATATAGCTGTCATGTATGGGGGTAGGGGTTGATATAGCTGTCATGTATGGGGGTAGGGGTCGACATAGCTGTCATGTATGGGGGTAGGGGTCGACATAGCTGTCATGTATGGGGGTAGGGGTCGACATAGCTGTCATGTATGGGGGTAGGGGTTGATATAGCTGTCATGTATGGGGGTAGGGGTTGATATAGCTGTCATGTATGGGGGTAGGGGTTGATATAGCTGTCATGTATGGGGGTAGGGGTTGATATAGCTGTCATGTATGGGGGTAGGGGTCTACATAGCTGTCATGTATGGGGGTAGGGGTCGACATAGCTGTCATGTATGGGGGTAGGGGTTGATATAGCTGTCGTGTATGGGGGTAGGGGTCGACATTGCTGTCATGTATGGGGGTAGGGGTCGACATAGCTGTCATGTATGGGGGTAGGGGTTGATATAGCTGTCATGTATGGGGGTAGGGGTTGATATAGCTGTCATGTATGGGGGTAGGGGTCGACATAGCTGTCATGTATGGGGGTAGGGGTCGACATAGCTGTCATGTATGGGGGTAGGGGTCTACATAGCTGTCATGTATGGGGGTAGGGGTCGACATAGCTGTCATGTATGGGGGTAGGGGTCGACATAGCTGTCATGTATGGGGGTAGGGGTCGACATAGCTGTCATGTATGGGGGTAGGGGTTGATATAGCTGTCATGTGTGTGATGGGATGGTCCAGGGTACACATTGATGCAATTCTGGGGGGATTGGGAGAAGGGGGGGGGGTTGACAAGGCTGTGATGTGAGACAAGAAACATGGCAAATAGTGAATGTTTCTTAAAATAAGTACCCATATATTGTTCAAATTATTTTAAAAAATGTAATAAATGTTGGAAAAGATATGGAGCCAAAATGGTCAAGATTTTATAATTTTTTTGTGCTATAATTACTAAATGATTTGCCATGAAGTCTGCTAATAAGTAAACAATTCAAGTTCTTGTCTAGATTTTGACCATGAGATTTCCTCGACTAAATGGAACTGTTACAATCATATCTGGATAATGCTATGTTTAAAATGTATTTATTACCGCTTGTACAAATGACATGCAAAAGAAAAGGAAACTTTTTTTTTTCTTTTCTAATGGGGTTGTACTCAAACAAAATTTTAACAAAACCAAAATGATGAAACTCAATACAACTAGCAATGAACAACCCACAAGATGGTTAAGCAAAAAATGTCACATACTTAGGCTGGATGAAAAACCACTGAAGTTAAAATTCATGTTCAGTCTAAGACTAGAAGTAGATAGAAGCATAATCTTAATGTCATTTTAAAGAGCGAATTCTAGCCTATCGTTTGATGTATAAATTGAAAAAATAACTTATTTCATTTTAAAAAATCAGTTTTTAAACTTTAAATGACGATATATACACGAAAACAAACTAATTCTGTTTAAATTTTTACACCGATGTAAAGTTCACTTTTATAACTGGATCTACTTTGTGTTGTAAATTCAAGTATTTCTCATTTGCGAAGCCGTGCCCTCAATAAACATTTAGACCTCCAGCCGACTTTCAGCCCCGAGTGAGTAGCTCGCCGAACGGTTTTAAAGGTTGACGACCGATGTTGCTAAACGGATTTTACCCTTGCTAGAGCCTTCAAACAAGTTGTAAGTACCATTTTTAAAGTTTCATTTCCATTTTAATAAATGAATTTTAAGTTTGAATTTCAGTTTGGTTTAAAGAGTACAAGTTATTAATGTAAATTTGACCGCTACTAGTCCACGGTTTTAGCGTGTGAACTACGCTGGTACACATCGTGTGTTTAGACGTGAACCTATTTAATTCAGGACATTCTAGGGACTTAAAATATGAATGCACTTAACTATTAGATGCTAGTGTTAACAAATTCTTTAAAATCTATCGAATGGGATTAATGATAGGGTCGTATTACTAAAGTTTATCTGGACTATCACGTCAAAATTATGAATCGACAAATTCAAAATGGCCACCAGACAATCCTGGTTACTATGTGGACGAACTCAATTATTTACACAGGGAACGAAGGTTAGGCCTAAATACTTATAAAATATTAATAAAACACAAAAGAAATGTATAATTACAGTAACTATTTTTGTAAATACATTTTTATCAATTTATTAAAACTAAAGACACTAAATTTTAAGGACTAATGTAATTATTTTTTAAATTTTCTGTTGTGCACTCTGATTCTGATTCCCCTGCTGAATAATGTGAAATGTTCTGCCCCAGTCTCCTTAATAAAATGTACCAGATCAAATTTTGGATGGTGGTGCAATTTATTAAGATTGTGTACATGTTGGGACTTAGTTTTAAATCTTATATTAGTTGTAAGTGTAAGTAGTACTACTAGTACTAGTAGTATTTCTCATTATTTATTTATTTTATATGCCTATAGTAACAATGAAGGACAGTTAAGCTGTTCTATAGATGTTGAGAACCACAGTATGGCACCTTCATCATTGGATATCTCAACCAGTGTGGCACAAGCAACGAATATTTCATTCAGTAGAATTACTAATTAAAATATACTATCAAGTATAAATTACTTATAACAAAAAGGTGTTTTCAGTTATGGTCATAGGACAAATAGTAGGCCTACACAATAGGCTAGTAGTAAATTTAATTATATTTTATTAATCACTAAATCAATTATTTTTTCCATAGCTTGAGACATTTATGGTGGCCTATCCAGAACTTTCCTTATAAGGGAAGGGAAGACGGCCAAGCGCCCCCCCTCCCCCTACAGTTCCCAAAACATCGCTTACTCTTGATGTTCCACAAGGTTGAGGGAAACAAGACTTACGAAGATGTGGAGTTGTCGTTTTAAAAACTGTTCCTCCAAAGTTATCAACCCGATAGGTTTGAATGTAGCATCAACTGCTGCATCACTTGTAGGCATCACGTCTTTATTAGACTACATTACATTACGTTACTCCACTTAATTTTGATTCTGTTTCTCCTGCACTAGATAACTGTGGCATTTTTTAAAATAATATTTTAACTCGTGTGATTTTTGAAAATAATGAACACATTCTTCCTGTTAGTGTTAATGTTACCAACACAATAGTTTTAGTTTTATTCTATGTCCAAAGCAAAAAAAAAAAAAAAAAAAAAAAAATGAATTTTGAATTTTTTTTTTAATGAAAATAAAAGTGACCAAAACGCGTTATTGTTATTTTCAATTATTTTTTTTAATCTTAGAAAGACTCATTTTAGATGACTGAAAAAAACTGGGCATATATAATATAATATATATTACAAACTTTGCAGTAACTTTACCAATTTCTACACTTCTATATTATTTAGTTTAGAAAATATTGGTTCTCAAAAATGGCACTTTTTGAAAATCAGTTTTTTACCAAATTTTGCTTTTTTAAAAATCGCATAACTTTTTTATTTATTGAGATATTTTTATAAAATGTGTGGCATAGAGTGAGCTTCTTCCATGACATAGGTTCTACTCACTCCAGAAGTCTGCAATCAATAGTTAATTTCAGCTTGGACTACCTACTAGAAGTAATGTCCTATGCAGTAATTCCAAAACTGAGGACTGATGCATAAAAAGTCAAGGGTCACTTTACAGGGTATAATAGTCCTAAAAAATACTAGCAAAACGACACATCAGAATTGATTTCATTTAGACATTTTTAAAAACAAGTTAATAAAAAGTCTAATGACAATTTAAGCGCAATTTCCTTAATTTATTTTTTTAGAATTCACAGACCTACGTAAAAATTCTTTCGAACCTCCGCTCATTCGCTATGTTAAAATCCTTTCGAACCTCAGCGCTTTGCGCTAAAAACCTACAAGATGCTCAGTTTAAACCAGACGAGCAGAGCTAGTCCCCGCCCCCTCGCGAGATCTGCGCGAGTCTGGCCAATGGCAGCGTGTTACAAGTAGACGTTACCTCTCACTAGCGACTGCCTCAGCCGGTGTGCTTGTTTTGCTACTTCACCGCTTCGCTTCTTCTAGAAATATTTTTATAATAGTAATCTTAGCCAATACAAATTAGAAGAAATTAATTTTTTGTGACCGAACGAAAGGATATTTTTGAAAACTTTCTTCGGCTATATTGTTCTAAATTATGGCAGAAATCGATTGGTAAATGTTTCAAGTCGCTAAGTTGTCTGGTTGCCGAGATATGGGCAAAAAAACTGCATTTTTTCGAGTTTTTTTGGCTTTTCCGGGAAATCCAGGAAGGAATTCCGGGAATTTTTTTGGCCTATGTTCATCCTCGAAACTTGCTTAACATATTTGATTTTGGAAAGAGTCCTCGATATTGCTTCGTTGAGGAGGTGATACGACTTAAAGCTCCGGACACACATCATCTATCCATAAATGACGAGTTAATAATCGCAATCCCCCAGTATGGAAATTGCGCTAAAAATTTACATCCTTGATCCATTTGGCTCGTGGACGTCCGGCAATTTTCTCCAAAGGGATGTAACCACCCATGGAAGAACATGGCGAAAATATTAGTTTAGTTGTTTCGCTTAGCTTCGCTAAAGACTGCTAGATATAGAAAATATATACTTTTAACAGTGTCTCCCCCCCCCCTGAAGAAAGTCTACCACCCTTTCCCCCCCCCCCCCCCGAAAATTTCAAGTGCCCCCCCCCCGGAGAAAAAAGCCTTGGAAGAGATCCCCTCCAACACAATTAAGTATACGTGTCGACTGGTTATGTGTCATTTAGGCAGTTAACTCCGATTTCAGCCTTTTGTCCAACCAAGAACAAACTACAAGGCAGCAGTTTTGGACCTGTGTCTCCTAGAAGAGTGACTGTCACCAGCTATCAAGCTGGAAGAAGATGCACATATTTACTAAATATTTACAAAACAGCGTGCAAACAGTGACTTGGTTTTTCTTATCTAAATGTTCGTTGTTCAGGCCAATGCATTGCCCTGATGGGATTAACATGATAAAAACTTTTACAGATATAACCTCTCAAACACGGCACTTTTTAGGGTGTTGGAAAAAAAAAAAGAAAATACCAATTTTTTAAAACGCCATAACTTTTTTACTACTTGAACAAATTTAGTGCCCACTATCTTAGAATCATGAGTTCTTGACATAGCAACTTTCAAAAACGTACCGGGTCCGTTTTAAAAAATGGCGACACTGGTGACGAAATGTACGATCACGTGACCTTTTACATTTAACAGAAAAAAAATTGTCTATTCTAAAAATAAAAATATTGGAAAAATATGTTGTAGTTAATTGTCAAAGTACCCTCTGTCAGAAAAGACAAAAATATTTGAACTAAGCAAACAGAAAGCGAAGTGGGGTTTAGTTTTATCGGACGAAGCTGAAAAATTACGTGGAAGTCTAATCATTGAACGGAGATATAGTTTTAATAATAAAAATATACTGTAGAAATTAACTATAAAAACTAGACTCACAAACATGTTTATTTAGTAGCTACATGTTTTTTTTTTTTACTGAACTATCAAGCCTCTAAAACTTGCTAACATAAATTTAGAAAAGCTTGGTGGTGCGTTGATAACGAAGAAAACGGCCATTTTCTTCGACCGTGCGTAGAGCTATTTTAGTGATCGCTATAATGTTTTGTCGAGCTCGGCCTTTTTTAAAATCTTGCTCAGAAATGATCAACATTTTATGTGTTTTAACCAAAAAAAGGACCATCTTTCTGAAAATGCAAATAAAAAATGTGTGCAATCATAGAATCACATGGTAATTTTTAAATTTCTTCAATTTTTTAACATTTAAAATATATGTATTTTGTTTTGTTTAGTATCCCACTAAAGGCTATTCAAATCTGCACATTTTACAGGTATTTGTAAAGAAATATGTGAACGGTCAAAAAAGGCCCGCGAGTTGAATGAGAGAGGGGTCAAAATCCGCTACTCGGCTGCTGTTGAAAAATCATCTCAGTGATAGTTTTCAATTGGTAAATGAGATATATTGTTTAATATTAACAACTATACATACTTAGAGGGCTTAAAATATACTTTTTAATGGCACCAAGCTTATTGCTAAACGAGCCCTTTTTATTATCGAAACTATGAAGTGAAAAGCTACTATATTTGGGAGACGCGGGCGAAAACGAAGTTTTTTTTCGGCCGTTTGACATGTTGACCAGAAAGATGCGCAACGGAAAAAGCGCAAACAGAAATTTGAGCACACAGAAAAATGCGCAAAAAGAAATTTCAGCACAAAGACCTATATGAACTAGATGACACATTTATACATGATTGTTAGGGCTGCTGTGAGAGGGTTGTGTTTGACATGACGCTATCTACTACTATTTAAAGAATACCACTACCATGAGCATTCACATCACCACGATAAAGGCGATAATCGCTTGACACAATGCCTATTATTTTCTTGGTCAATATTTATTCAACTACTATTCTCGTTCCTGGAAGATAGCAGACAACCATCATATCCCCCATCCCCCGTTATTGGTGCAACAATACATCACAGGGCATCAGTAGAAAGAGAATAACAAAATGGTTTCTTTTCAAATAGAAACATATTTTAATGGGAGGAACAGCTTCAATGGATGCGTGTCAGTTCTTCAATGATTTTAACCAGGTCCTCTACACTTGCCTCTCTCTTGCTGTCCCCCTCCATCTGAAATTAGATCACACATACAGGTGTCATTAAATTAGATCACACATACAGGTGTCATTAAATTAGATCACACATACAGGTGTCATTAAATTAGATCACACATACAGGTGTCATTAAATTAGATCACACATACAGGTGTCATTAAATTAGATCACACATACAGGAGTCATGAAATTCTTAAATATCAAAGTATAGCATAGTTTGTTTTTTAAAATAATATTGACTACAAAATTGATGTTTAATTTAAATCTACACTACCTTGAGTGACCACATGTACAAGTAACACTGACCTATGAACCCTGAAGTCAAGTGTCACTGACCTATGAACCCTGAAGACAAGTGTCACTGACCTATGAACCCTCAAGTGTCACTGACCTATGAACCCTCAAGTGTCACTGACCTATGAACCCTGAAGTCAAGTGTCACTGACCTATGAACCCTGAAGACAAGTGTCACTGACCTATGAACCCTCAAGTGTCACTGACCTATGAACCCTGAAGACAAATGTCACTGACCTATGAACCCTGAAGACAAATGTCACTGACCTATGAACCCTGAAGACAAGTGTCACTGACCTATGAACCCTCAAGTGTCACTGACCTATGAACCCTCAAGTATCACTGACCTATGAACCCTGAAGACAAATGTCACTGACCTATGAACCCTGAAGACAAATGTCACTGACCTATGAACCCTCAAGTGTCACTGACCTATGAACCTGAAGACAAATGTCACTGACATATGAACCCTCAAGTGTCACTGACCTATGAACCCTCAAGTGTCACTGACCTATGAACCCTGAAGACAAATGTCACTGACCTATGAACCCTCAAGTGTCACTGACCTATGAACCCTCAAGTGTCACTGACATATGAACCCTCAAGTGTCACTGATATATGAACCCTCAAGTGTCACTGACCTATGAACCCTCAAGTGTCACTGATATATGAACCCTCAAGTGTCACTGACCTATGAACCCTCAAGTGTCACTGACCTATGAACCCTAAAGTGTCACTGACCTATGAACCCTAAAGTGTCACTGACCTATGAACCCTAAAGTGTCACTGACCTATGAACCCTCAAGTGTCACTGACATATGAACCCTCAAATGTCACTGATATATGAACCCTAAAGTGTCACTGACCTATGAACCCTGAAGACAAGTGTCACTGACCTATGAACCCTCAAGTGTCACTGACCTATGAACCCTAAAGTGTCACTGACCTATGAACCCTGAAGACAAATGTCACTGACCTATGAACCCTGAAGACAAGTGCCACTGACCTATGAACCCTCAAGTGTCACTGACCTGCAAACCATGTACAACTTCCTGCATTTTGTCCCGGCTCAAATCCAAAAAACTCTCCAGCAGGTCCCCATCAATAAAACCCATGCAGGTGTCCCGCTTTTGTTCTGTGAAATAAGATCTCCAGCTGTCTACAGTTAAGGCAACACAAACAGGGCTGGTGACACACACAGGGCTGGTGACACACACAGGGCTGGTGACACACACAGGGCTGGTGACACACACAGGGCTGGTGACACACACAGGGCTGGTGACACACACAGGGCTGGTGACACACACAGGGCTGGTGACACACACAGGGCTGGTGACACACACAGGGCTGGTGACACACACAGGGCTGGTGACACACACAGGGCTGGTGACACACACAGGGCTGGTGACACATAGGGCTGGTGACACACACAGGGCTGGTGACACACACAGGGCTGGTGACGCACACAGGGCTGGTGACGCACACAGGGCTGGTGACGCACACAGGGCTGGTGACGCACACAGGGCTGGTGACGCACACAGGGCTGGTGACGCACACAGGGCTGGTGACACACACAGGGCTGGTGACGCACACAGGGCTGGTGACGCACACAGGGCTGGTGACGCACACAGGGCTGGTGACACACACAGGGCTGGTGACACACACAGGGCTGGTGACGCACACAGGGCTGGTGACGCACACAGGGCTGGTGACGCACACAGGGCTGGTGACACACACAGGGCTGGTGACACACACAGGGCTGGTGACGCACACAGGGCTGGTGACGCACACAGGGCTGGTGACGCACACAGGGCTGGTGACGCACACAGGGCTGGTGACACACACAGGGCTGGTGACGCACACAGGGCTGGTGACACACACAGGGCTGGTGACACACACAGGGCTGGTGACGCACACAGGGCTGGTGACGCACACAGGGCTGGTGACACACACAGGGCTGGTGACACACACAGGGCTGGTGACACACACAGGGCTGGTGACACACACAGGGCTGGTGATACATAGGGCTGGTGACACACACAGGGCTGGTGACACACAGGGCTGGTGACACACAAAGTGTGTTGGTGTGTTGGGTGGTGACTGTGTGTTGGGTGGTGACAGTGTGTTGGGTGGTGACAGTGTGTTGATGTGTTGGGTGGTGAATCTTTAGCTTAAATAAAGGATACAAGCTGTGTTCAATTTTCCCAACACTCTTGATGACTTTGCTCAACCTGTTTTGGACCTCCAGGAGAAAATTAAAAAAGTCTTGTGGTAACTGGGCAACCATGCCTAGAGAAGAGAGCAATTAGAGCATTTTAGTTTTCAGAACATCATTTTTTTAGAGTTATATCATTAGAGTAATATCATTAGAGTAATATCATTAGAGTAATATCATTAGAGTAACCTAATAAGTAACTGACCTACAGCACCATTGACAGTACCAAATAAAACAGAACCAGAGATGGGTGTGGTGTGTTCTCCAGCATGTTGCATCACCAGTGAACCTGTAGATTAGACAGACATTCACCACACCTGACAGACAGACATTCACCACACCTGATAGACATTCACCACACCTGATAGACAGACATTCACCACACCTGACAGACATTCACCACACCTGATAGACAGACATTCACCACACCTGACAGACAGACATTCACCACACCTAATAGACAGACATTCACCACACCTGATAGACAGACATTCACCACACCTGACAGACAGACATTCACCACACCTGACAGACAGACATTCACCACACCTGATAGACAGATATTCACCACACCTGATAGACAGACATTCACCACACCTGATAGACAGACATTCACCACACCTGATAGACAGACATTCACCACACCTGACAGACATTCACCACACCTGACAGACATTCACCACACCTGACAGACAGACATTCACCACACCTGACAGACAGACATTCACCACACCTGACAGACATTCACCACACCTGACAGACATTCACCACACCTGACAGACAGACATTCACCACACCTAATAGACAGACATTCACCACACCTGATAGACAGACATTCACCACACCTGATAGACAGACATTCACCACACCTGACAGACAGACATTCACCACACCTGACAGACAGACATTCACCACACCTGATAGACAGACATTCACCACACCTGATAGACAGACATTCACCACACCTGACAGACAGACATTCACCACACCAGACAGACATTCACCACACCTGACAGACAGACATTCACCACACCTGACAGACATTCACCACACCTGACAGACAGACATTCACCACACCTGACAGACAGACATTCACCACACCTGACAGACATTCACCACACCTGACAGACATTCACCACACCTGACAGACAGACATTCACCACACCTGACAGACAGACATTCACCACACCTGACAGACATTCACCACACCTGACAGACAGACATTCACCACACCTGACAGACAGACATTCACCACACCTGATAGACATTCACCACACCTGACAGACATTCACCACACCTGACAGACAGACATTCACCACACCTGACAGACAGACATTCACCACACCTGATAGACATTCACCACACCTGATAGACAGACATTCACCACACCTGACAGACAGACATTCACCACACCTGACAGACATTCACCACACCTGACAGACAGACATTCACCACACCTGACAGACATTCACCACACCTGACAGACAGACATTCACCACACCTGACAGACAGACATTCACCACACCTGATAGACATTCACCACACCTGACAGACATTCACCACACCTGACAGACAGACATTCACCACACCTGACAGACAGACATTCACCACACCTGATAGACATTCACCACACCTGATAGACAGACATTCACCACACCTGACAGACAGACATTCACCACACCAGACAGACATTCACCACACCTGATAGACAGACATTCACCACACCTGACAGACATTCACCACACCTGACAGACAGACATTCACCACACCTGACAGACAGACATTCACCACACCTGATAGACAGACATTCACCACACCTGATAGACAGACATTCACCACACCTGATAGACAGACATTCACCACACCTGATAGACAGACATTCACCACACCTGACAGACATTCACCACACCTGATAGACAGACATTCACCACACCTGATAGACAGACATTCACCACACCTGACAGACATTCACCACACCTGATAGAAAGACATTCACCACACCTGATAGACAGACATTCACCACACCTGACAGACATTCACCACACCTGACAGACATTCACCACACCTGATAGACATTCACCACACCTGACAGACATTCACCACACCTGACAGACAGACATTCACCACACCTGACAGACATTCACCACACCTGATAGACAGACATTCACCACACCTGACAGACATTCACCACACCTGACAGACAGACATTCACCACACCTGACAGACAGACATTCACCACACCTGATAGACAGACATTCACCACACCTGATAGACAGACATTCACCACACCTGATAGACAGACATTCACCACACCTGATAGACATTCACCACACCTGATAGACATTCACCACACCTGACAGACATTCACCACACCTGATAGACAGACATTCACCACACCTGATAGACAGACATTCACCACACCTGACAGACATTCACCACACCTGATAGACATTCACCACACCTGATAGACAGACATTCACCACACCTGACAGACATTCACCACACCTGATAGACAGACATTCACCACACCTGACAGACAGACATTCACCACACCTGACAGACAGACATTCACCACACCTGACAGACATTCACCACACCTGACAGACAGACATTCACCACACCTGACAGACAGACATTCACCACACCTGACAGACAGACATTCACCACACCTGACAGACAGACATTCACCACACCTGATAGACAGACATTCACCACACCTGATAGACAGACATTCACCACACCTGATAGACAGACATTCACCACACCTGATAGACAGACATTCACCACACCTGACAGACATTCACCACACCTGATAGACAGACATTCACCACACCTGATAGACAGACATTCACCACACCTGACAGACATTCACCACACCTGATAGACAGACATTCACCACACCTGATAGACATTCACCACACCTGACAGACAGACATTCACCACACCTGATAGACATTCACCACACCTGATAGACATTCACCACACCTGACAGACATTCACCACACCTGACAGACATTCACCACACCTGATAGACAGACATTCACCACACCTGACAGACAGACATTCACCACACCTGATAGACAGACATTCACCACACCTGATAGACAGACATTCACCACACCTGACAGACATTCACCACACCTGATAGACAGACATTCACCACACCTGATAGACAGACATTCACCACACCTGACAGACATTCACCACACCTGATAGACAGACATTCACCACACCTGACAGACATTCACCACACCTGATAGACAGACATTCACCACACCTGATAGACAGACATTCACCACACCTGACAGACATTCACCACACCTGATAGACAGACATTCACCACACCTGACAGACAGACATTCACCACACCTGACAGACAGACATTCACCACACCTGACAGACAGACATTCACCACACCTGATAGACAGACATTCACCACACCTGATAGACAGACATTCACCACACCTGATAGACAGACATTCACCACACCTGACAGACAGACATTCACCACACCTGATAGACAGACATTCACCACACCTGACAGACATTCACCACACCTGATAGACAGACATTCACCACACCTGACAGACAGACATTCACCACACCTGATAGACAGACATTCACCACACCTGATAGACAGACATTCACCACACCTGATAGACAGACATTCACCACACCTGATAGACAGACATTCAGCAAACCTCATAGATAGACATTCACCACACCTGAGGGTGGCCTGTCATGTCTAGGGTGTGTGGGTGACCTGTCATGTCTAGGGTGTGGGGGTGGCCTGTCATGTCTAGGGTGTGGGGGTGACCTGTCATGTCTAGGGTGTGGGTGTGGCCTGTCATGTCTAGGGTGTGTGGGTTGGCGTGTCATGTCTAGGGTGTGTGGGTGACCTGTCATGTCTAGGGTGTGGGTGTGGCCTGTCATGTCTAGGGTGTGTGGGTGACCTGTCATGTCTAGGGTGTGGGGGTGGCCTGTCATGTCTAGGGTGTGGGGGTGGCCTGTCATGTCTAGGGTGTGTGGGTTGGCGTGTCATGTCTAGGGTGTGTGGGTGACCTGTCATGTCTAGGGTGTTGCCTGTCATGTCTAGGGTGTGTAAGGGGCACACAGCTGCCATGAGTGAAGTCCACCTACCATGTCTAAAAACATTGACCATTTCTCCCAGATGATAGAGACCAACTTCTTGCATTTGTGATCTCTCTTCATCTGTAGTTGCTGCACTGTTAATGAGACCATTTTTTTAGCCACAGATATTAACAAGAAATAATTTTAAACTGCAGCTTTCGAACCTTACAGCTTTTTAACTAACATATCAGAGATTCAACCCACTTCCTAAAGTTTATTAGTGTGTACTATGATGGCAACCAAAAAGTTTTTTTTACCCAAGTTAAAAAACCATTAGATCTAGGCCCATAAATTGTGTAATCTCATCATAGTAAACTAAGCCTACATCAGTATTTTGTGTTAAGACATATTGAGTGGGGTTTTATTTTTTTTTAAATTTAGTAAAATAGACTAACCCTAACCCATTCACAGTAAGTGGACACACCATAGACTAACCCTAACCCATTCCTGAATGACGTAGGCTAGGAACTGAGCATTCTTCTGTAAACCATCCAAACAGCCATAAGCAGGAGGGGAAGATACAACCATTCAAATATGGGTGGCAAAAGGTAAAAATTTATTGGCAGAAAAGACTTCAGATGCTTATTGAAAAAAAAATGGATGGAAAATTCCTGATTTTTTTTCCCGGCAAAAACTTTTCTCAGTAGGAAAAAGTGGAACATTTACATCTCTGATATATTCATACATATATACATGGTAAAGGGGGGGGGGAAGGGGGGAAGGGAACACCTGCAACTTAGAAGGATAAGCAAATTCTGAAAGCTTACCTGTCCTTCTGACAGACAAACAAATTATGAAAGTTTACCTGTCCTTCTGACAGACAAACAAATTATGAAAGTTGTCAGCACCAAGGAAGTTATCATCATCCAAAATCTCAATGGCTGTCATCCATTTGACATTGCAGTCTCTAGCGATCTCCTCAAATGCATCTTGTAAAGGTTTGTAGCCCAAAAGAGCAACAGACTTCATGAGATCAGCAACAAGAACAAAGTCACCTTTGGACTTTAAAAACAGAGCCAGTATGTTGTTGAAGTGGCTACACTCTAGTCTCAGCTCTCTCTCACTCGTCCATTCAAAGAGACGAACCTTCAAATACATTCATTTAAGTCAAGGGATTAGTCCCATTCAAAGAGACGAACCTTCAAATACATTCATTTAAGTCAAGGGATTAGTCCCATTCAAAGAGACGAACCTTTAAATACATTCATTTAAGTCAAGGGATTAGTCCCATTCAAAGAGACGAACCTTCAAATACATTCATTTAAGTCAAGGGATTAGTCCCATTCAAAGAGACGAACCTTCAAATACATTCATTTAAGTCAAGGGATTAGTCCCATTCAAAGAGACGAACCTTCAAATACATTCATTTAAGTCAAGGGATTAGTCCCATTCAAAGAGACGAACCTTCAAATACATTTGATTTAGTTTAAAGATTTTTTGAAGATGTTTTGAAAAAGAAAAAAAGCTTACTGTACTGTTGACACTAGCCAAAAGTTTGCCATTGAAAGCCACCATGCTGTAAGCTGCCCCTTTGATTTCCTTCTCTGCTATCATGCTCAGTTTGCCTAGGATATACATTTACAATTTGACAGCCCTAACTATTGCTTCTTGCAGGGCTATTTTATTTTATTGGACACATTCCACAAAAAACACAAAACAGCTAACCTTCACTGTAATGAAATACAATAATTCACAAACAGCTAACCTTCACTGTAATGAAATACAATAATTCACAAACAGCTAACCTTCACTGTAATGAAATACAATAATTCACAAACAGCTAACCTTCACTGTAATGAAATACAATAATTCACAAACAGCTAACCTTCACTGTAATGAAATACAATAATTCACAAACAGCTAACCTTCACTGTAATGAAATACAATAATTCACAAACAGCTAACCTTCACTGTAATGAAATACAATAATTCACAAACAGCTAACCTTCACTGTAATGAAATACAATAATTCACAAACAGCTAACCTTCACTGTAATGAAATACAATAATTCACAAACAGCTAACCTTCACTGTAATGAAATACAATTATTCACAAACAGCTAACCTTCACTGTAATGAAATACAATAATTCACAAACAGCTAACCTTCACTGTAATGAAATACAATAATTCACAAACAGCTAACCTTCACTGTAATGAAATACAATTATTCACAAACAGCTAACCTTCACTGTAATGAAATACAATAATTCTCCCAGATTTGGGCTCAGCTTCTTCCAGGCTGATCATGGCCGTGCCAACGATGTAGTACGGAGTTGGGTCCTCCCCCAGCGTTGTGGACAGCAGGCTGGTGGCGCATTCATTGGGTAATAATGTGTGAGCATGGAGCACTGAAGAAAGACATTCATTGGGTAATAATGTGTGAGCATGGAGCACTGAAGAAAGACATTCATTGGGTAATAATGTGTGAGCATGGAGCACTGAAGAAAGACATTCATTGGGTAATAATGTGTGAGCATGGAGCACTGAAGAAAGACATTCATTGGGTAATAATGTGTGAGCATGGAGCACTGAAGAAAGACATTCATTGGGTAATAATGTGTGAGCATGGAGCACTGAAGAAAGACATTCATTGGGTAATAATGTGTGAGCATGGAGCACTGAAGAAAGACATTCATTGGGTAATAATGTGTGAGCATGGAGCACTGAAGAAAGACATTCATTGGGTAATAATGTGTGAGCATGGAGCACTGAAGAAAGACATTCATTGGGTAATAATGTGTCCAGGGGTCCCACAATTTTTTCATACAATAAACTGAATATTCTTATATAACACTACAGGGGATGGCAATTCGGGATATAGACAATATATTTAATCCATTTTTAATTACTTAAACTTTTTAAAATAGAATAGAATCTCGTAGAAAAAAGAATTGCACACCAAGTGAACGCAAATAAAATGTGTATAATAGTGCGGAATATTAATAATACTTTATAAATTCACATGTGATTTTTGAGAAATCGGAAATAGCGTAAATTACTACTTCTGGTCAATGGAAATTGCTCAAAATTTGACAGAAGGTAGAGAATTAGATCTTTTACTTTGAGCCCGGGCTCCCTGGCCTAATTTCTCCCATTTCCTGAGCTCCCAGACCCAAACCAATTTTCACTTATCTGCTTCTAACTTTGCCTATAACTTTTGAACCGTTTGAGATCATCAAGCCAAATTTGATATCCAGGCTCAGGATCAAACAAACAATTCAGCTAGATTCTGAAATTCTTAATTTTTTTACAATGTATGAACATAACAATGTATATAAAAGGAACACAGTCGATGGCTGTGGCTCAGTTTTTTCATTTTGGCAGCATTGCTTTAAAAAAAAAATATATTTGTACAACAAAAGTTTGCACTAATAAAAAATATTTATATACCGATATTTGTTTTATATACTTACTAAACATAATGACAAAACTAGAGTAAATAAACTATTTACTGGTATTATAATAATAATTATAACCGAATAATAAAATAATATAAAATAACCAATTTTTTTGTTGACAATGTTTTTTACAAATGCAAACACTTTCACTTTCAACTTTCCCCAAAATCTAGAATCATAATCCTGCACTAAAAAGACATATGCACTGTTTTATTCAGTCCGCCGCTAATTGTATTTAATAAGACGGTGTACCAGCCCCTAGGACTATGACGCTAGATCATCGGGCAGGATAACCGACTTTTCGGACATATTTGCCTAATTTTAAAGCCGGTTTTCCAGCTTGTCGGGCTCAAAGGGTTCAATTTCTTTTATCTATCTGAAATAGTAGTCAAGTTATATACTTTTGAAAAACCAAAAGTAGAATTAGTTTCACTTCCAGTTACTGGAAATTGCTGAAAAGTTGACACAGAACTACAAATTTGATGTAATACTTAAAAATAAATTTTCATTAACCTAGCTCTAACGGTACTCAAGTTATCATGTTTGCACACACACATACATAATTGCAAAGCCCAGTTTTTCCGACTCGATTACGCATATATGATGAAGTACTGAGGTGGAAAATGATGAAAACTGTCAAAATTTCATGTGATTTTTGAGCACGATTACAATACTTCCTCTATACTCTGTATATGAGAAAGTAAAAAAAAAGTATAGAAAAAAAGAATTGCGCACCAAGTGAATGGCAAATAATGTATGTATAAAATTATGGAATATTAGTCCCTTATAAATTCATAATAATTCGTAATAATGAGGTAGAACACACTTCGGTGACCGCCCAGGTGTCAGAGACGTACAGGGGTGTTCTCTGGAGCCCCAGGTTATACTACTACAGGGGTGTTCTCTGGGGCCCCAGGTTATACTACTACAGGGGTGTTCTCTGGAGCCCCAGGTTATACTACTACAGGGGTGTTCTCTGGGGCCCCAGGTTATACTACTACAGGGGTGTTCTCTGGAGCCCCAGGTTATACTACTACAGGGGTGTTCTCTGGAGCCCCAGGTTATACTACTACAGGGGTGTTCTCTGGAGCCCCAGGTTATACTACTACAGGGGTGTTCTCTGGAGCCCCAGGTTATACTACTACAGGGGTGTTCTCTGGGGCCCCAGGTTATACTACTGCAGGGGTGTTCTCTGGAGCCCCAGGTTATACTACTACAGGGGTGTTCTCTGGAGCCCCAGGTTATACTACTACAGGGGTGTTCTCTGGAGCCCCAGGTTATACTACTGCAGGGGTGTTCTCTGGAGCCCCAGGTTATACTACTACAGGGGTGTTCTCTGGAGCCCCAGGTTATACTACTACAGGGGTGTTCTCTGGAGCCCCAGGTTATACTACTACAGGGGTGTTCTCTGGAGCCCCAGGTTATACTACTGCAGGGGTGTTCTCTGGAGCCCCAGGTTATACTACTACAGGGGTGTTCTCTGGAGCCCCAGGTTATACTACTACAGGGGTGTTCTCTGGAGCCCCAGGTTATACTACTACAGGGGTGTTCTCTGGAGCCCCAGGTTATACTACTGCAGGGGTGTTCTCTGGAGCCCCAGGTTATACTACTACAGGGGTGTTCTCTGGAGCCCCAGGTTATACTACTGCAGGGGTGTTCTCTGGAGCCCCAGGTTATACTACTGCAGGGGTGTTCTCTGGAGCCCCAGGTTATACTACTGCAGGGGTGTTCTCTGGAGCCCCAGGTTATACTACTGCAGGGGTGTTCTCTGGAGCCCCAGGTTATACTACTGCAGGGGTGCCCCTGGATAAGTTTAATGAAGGAATGTTGTGTGCCACCAAGTCAATATTGTAGGGTGCTCCTTAAAACTAGTGTAGGCACCTTGTGCTCAATGGATAGCCCAGGGTGCCAAGTCACACTCTGCCAGCGGACATGCCTGATTTAATTTAAGACTGTAATACCCCCATCTTATCCACAGTTTAATTTAAGACTGTAATACCCCCATCTTATCCATAGTTTAATTTAAGACTGTAATACCCCCATCTTATCCACAGTTTAATTTAAGACTGTAATACCCCCATCTTATCCACAGTTTAATTTAAGACTGTAATACCCCCATCTTATCCACAGTTTAATTTAAGACTGTAATACACCCATCTTATCCACAGTTTAATTTAAGACTGTAATACACCCATCTTATCCATAGTTTAATTTAAGACTGTAATACCCCCATCTTATCCATAGTTTAATTTAAGACTGTAATACCCCCATCTTATCCACAGTTTAATTTAAGACTGTAATACACCCATCTTATCCACAGTTTAATTTAAGACTGTAATACACCCATCTTATCCATAGTTTAATTTAAGACTGTAATACCCCCATCTTATCCATAGTTTAATTTAAGACTGTAATACCCCCATCTTATCCACAGTTTAATTTAAGACTGTAATACCCCCATCTTATCCACAGTTTAATTTAAGACTGTAATACCCCCATCTTATCCATAGTTTAATTTAAGACTGTAATACCCCCATCTTATCCATAGTTTAATTTAAGACTGTAATACCCCCATCTTATCCATAGTTTAATTTAAGACTGTAATACCCCCATCTTATCCATAGTTTAATTTAAGACTGTAATACACCCATCTTATCCATAGTTTAATTTAAGACTGTAATACCCCCATCTTATCCATAGTTTAATTTAAGACTGTAATACCCCCATCTTATCCACAGTTTAATTTAAGACTGTAATACCCCCATCTTATCCACAGTTTAATTTAAGACTGTAATACCCCCATCTTATCCATAGTTTAATTTAAGACTGTAATACCCCCATCTTATCCATAGTTTAATTTAAGACTGTAATACCCCCATCTTATCCATAGTTTAATTTAAGACTGTAATACCCCCATCTTATCCATAGTTTAATTTAAGACTGTAATACACCCATCTTATCCATAGTTTAATTTAAGACTGTAATACACCCATCTTATCCATAGTTTAATTTAAGACTGTAATACCCCCATCTTATCCATAGTTTAATTTAAGACTGTAATACCCCCATCTTATCCACAGTTTAATTTAAGACTGTAATACCCCCATCTTATCCACAGTTTAATTTAAGACTGTAATACCCCCATCTTATCCATAGTTTAATTTAAGACTGTAATACCCCCATCTTATCCATAGTTTAATTTAAGACTGTAATACCCCCATCTTATCCATAGTTTAATTTAAGACTGTAATACCCCCATCTTATCCATAGTTTAATTTAAGACTGTAATACCCCCATCTTATCCATAGTTTAATTTAAGACTGTAATACCCCCATCTTATCCACAGTTTAATTTAAGACTGTAATACCCCCATCTTATCCACAGTTTAATTTAAGACTGTAATACCCCCATCTTATCCATAGTTTAATTTAAGACTGTAATACCCCCATCTTATCCATAGTTTAATTTAAGACTGTAATACCCCCATCTTATCCATAGTTTAATTTAAGACTGTAATACCCCCATCTTATCCGTAGTTTAATTTAAGACTGTAATACCCCCATCTTATCCATAGTTTAATTTAAGACTGTAATACACCCATCTTATCCATAGTTTAATTTAAGACTGTAATACACCCATCTTATCCATAGTTTAATTTAAGACTGTAATACACCCATCTTATCCACAGTTTAATTTAAGACTGTAATACCCCCATCTTATCCACAGTTTAATTTAAGACTGTAATACCCCCATCTTATCCACAGTTTAATTTAAGACTGTAATACCCCCATCTTATCCACAGTTTAATTTAAGACTGTAATACACCCATCTTATCCATAGTTTAATTTAAGACTGTAATACCCCCATCTTATCCATAGTTTAATTTAAGACTGTAATACCCCCATCTTATCCATAGTTTAATTTAAGACTGTAATACCCCCATCTTATCC